GAGAAAGAGAAAACTCAGCAATTGTTCCAAAGCTAGTGGTCTCTCTCATAACGGGCTGAAATATGTGTACGTATGACGTCAAATTCAATTAAAACCGCAACTCTTTCATGATGTCAGCATTTACGCATTGCCAAACAATGGCAACAATAACCGTAATGAAGGCTGAAAAATTGGTGGAGAGCATGTGAGCGAGTGCGATTGCGAGAGCATGGGTCTGCACAAAGAGAATGATCGTGTACGTGATTACTGATTTAATCATTTCGCTCCAATTGAACCGATTAAAAATGATTAGCGAACCGATTGTATCTTTCTCATAAAAATGTGCAGTGTTCCCTCACAGCCGACCAGGCAGCAGCAGGCAGTGCTGCGGTCAGCATTCTGGCTACAGCTGCCCCGACGATGCCATGAAGGCCGTTACTTCACCGCGGGGCAATTATTATATACTCTTTTTTCTCTCTTCTTTTTCAGATTCGTCGTGATGAATTTGCCTGTCATTAAAATCTGTTTATTTTCATTTGTTTGGCGAGAGAGTGAATTAAAAGAAGACGACGAAGGAAAAGAAGAAGAAGAAGCAAGAAAAAAAAAACACGGAATGCGCGCGCGATACCAACGAATCAAGTTGAATGTGAAACATGAAACGAACAAACCATTCGAATCTTTCGAAAATGTTTTTTTCCCTTTTTTTCTTCTTATGTATGATATGTTTATGGGCGGCCGCGCGTAGACTACTTGTACAATGCTCGCGCTTTTTATTAGGCAACATGCTTTTGAGTATGGGACGTGTTTGTGTGTATAACAAAATAATAGAGCCAACGCGATAACCAAGGAGTGAGGAGAGCAACAAGACTGCGAGTGAGAGGCAAGAACACACTGAAAATACTGACATCCTCAATATTCTGCTGCGCTCATAAAATCAATGGAACAAACAACAAGCATTAATCACAATACATCACACAAGATATTATCGACCAATTTTCATGATGATTGTCAAACAGAAACTGACGAAACAGACGAGGAACGAGGAAAAATAAGCAACATACACCAACACACACGCACACACACAAACGCCACCGTCAAGCAGCTCTTGTTCTTGTTATAATGCGATCGTTGTTGTGCACGTACCCGACTTTTGTGCGGACTCAGGCCTTATTGTCATTTAATTCGATTTATGAACTCATGTGATTTTTGTTAAACAAAAACATTCGTCGTGCGATCACTCGGTTGGCGCTTTCAATGGCGTGTCGCATTGCAAGATGCGCAGAAAAAAAACAACAAAGAATTATAATTTGCTCGCAAAACGATATTTACATCTCGCGATTTTTACGCTAACTGACTGACGGGCGAGTCGATTCGCATTTGTTTTCCGCCGAATTTTCCAACGATTATTTTTTGCATTTTTCAGTATTTTTTCTTACTTCAAAGGAAGAATTTGTGGATGAATTGATTTTGTTTGGACGGCAAGGGGAAATTTTATTTTGGAAATTTCCGCCGTTTTACGTTAAGGAAATGTTGGCTGTTTTTTTTTCGAATCGCTTTTGAATATTTCCTTCATTTTTATGCAGAAGAGTCATTTGTTTTTTATGCGTTTTGCCTTTATTGAAGGCATTTGCGACGAATTTCAAGAGATATTGCGTATTTTTTCTATAGGTTTTTTGGAATTGTCTTTCAATTTTGTTTGAATTCACCTCAAATTGTTTCGACATTCTTCAAACTTCTTTCAAATTCCACGCTAATTTTGTGAAATTCCTTCCTCATTTGCGGAATTCCTCCAGTTGTTTTGAAATTCTATCAATTTTTCGTCAAGTTTCATCGAGTTTCAACGACATTTTTGGCAATTTTCTACTAATTTACTTTAAATTGATCACAATTTCCTTTCTTTTCGGAACCTGTTTTCTATTCTCTTGGAATTGTATTCAACTTTAGGCAGATTTTACCAAAAAACATGAAATTTGGTTCAACTTTTGATGATTTTCCGTAATTTTTTATGGAATTCTCTTGATTTTTTTCTTATTTCAGTTCATTTCAAGTGAATATTCTACGTTTTTACTGATTTCTCTGATACACTTTAACTAATTTTCGACATTTTTTTGATGATTTTCGACATTTCCGCCGATAAAACTACAACTCAAATCGATCAGTCAGTTGAACTCGGTTCGTCAATGCGTTGTTTCTGTTTTCAAACATATGAAAATTAGTCATGTCAATAAAAGTTGCAACACACAAAAATTGTGAGCCATCAAATAAACAACAACCACAACTGAGAGGGAGAGCGATTGATATTGTAAGACGTTTAGTTGAAATATTCCGAGTCGTTGCAATGCAGTTCGTATAGAATGTGATCGTTTGCACAATGTTATTGTGAGATATGAAAACTCTATTTACACATATTTCCATATGAATCGGACGCAGCGCCGTATTCTTATCGTAAGCCGTTTTGAATGTCTTCGAAGAAGAAGCAACAATTGATCGTCTAATCGAAGTTTCAACTGATATATTCTGCATTTTGGCCTCACTTCCAAAAATAATACACATACTCTGTTGTTGTTGTTACTTGTGTCATTGTCGACAGCAAGCCTCTTATCGCGTGAAATGGTTTTTGCCCACTTTGACAACATTTTATTGAGTTGTGCCGAATACTTTGTTATTTCATCATTGTTTTCACATTTAGTATTCAACTTTATCGGGATTTTCTTCTCTTTCTGAATTCAGGGTTTTTTTTTCTCTTTTGTCTAATTCTGTCGTTCTTCATTGCATTCGCGAATGTGCAAAATGGATGTGATTTTTTTGGAGATTAGTGACCTCCGATTTCTTCAGCAGCGGTTTTGTTTTTGATGCATGATTCAAGGTAGAGACAGAAAGACAACGGTTATTTCATAAATGGATACAATTTTTTTTTAAATTTGATCTAAAAATAACTACATTTAGCATATGTTGGGTATTTTTGGCACATAGATTGATGAAAGCATCGCACCGCCAGAGCATTTCGATTCTCATTGAAAAATTGCTTTCGTGTAATGGAGATATTATGAAATGATCTGGCCACACAGATCAGATCGGTATCTACGACAGATATTTAGGTGATGGCAAAGACGACATGAAACAGCGGCGGCAGCAGAAACGACCATTAAAAGCGAAACATTTATTCAATTGGAATGAGTACTGGACAGAGAACGCGCGCGAACAACTTCACCGAATTGGTTAAATCAACAATGATTTCTGTTCGCCAACGTTTCCACATCATTTGAATTGATCATCCGAAGAGCATTTTGATTAAGAATGATTCCTTCTACTTAAAAAATATGAGCATAAATGTGTTTTTCTTATTTGTTGTGGCTTCGGGTGTGATTTTTTCTTTCGTTTTCGAATCTGTCGTACAATTCTTATGTTATAAAAATATGTTCTTACTGTTCGACGATTCCACACAAAGCGGGACAAAATTTGCAAGTGACCTCTCCGATTTCGCTCAAACTTGGTGTATAAACTTCTTATGGGCAGAAACTCGCAAAGCCAAAAAATTAGGGTGACCTTCCCCGCCTGATGAAAAGTTGGGGTGACCCAAATATTGAAAAAAATGGAAAATGGCACTTTTTTGACATTTTCACACTAGAAAAGTGTGGTACAAACTTTTAAAACTATAATGCATGGTTGGATAGATAATTGATGGGGCTAAAAAAGTCCACTACGACCACCCCATCCGGGCCCATTCAGGCCCTGAAAAGTGGGTTCAAAGTATAAAATGTGAAAAAAGTCAATTAGATGTGGTGCTATTTTCTCGATTCTTTGGGTAGGCAGCCTCAAAATCTAAAACATGGTGAATCCGAATCTCAACTGGCACTTTCAAAAAATGAAAAAAAAAATTTTTTATGTAATTTTGATCTCACCATTTTCATATGGTTTTTGGCTATACATTTTTTTTACTCACCAAATAGGTGGTCTGACGATGGTAGTGTGTTCTGATGAAATGCCCAGCAGACTCCAACAAATCAAATAATACCAATTGTTGGTGTCGTTCACCCCTTTGGGAGGGCAGAGTAGGCTCAAAAAGTCGAAAAATCACAAAAAATCACTATTTTAGGGCAAAAACAGGACAGAAACCCGCTTTTGGCCACAAATCACTATAATATTCGGAAAGCTCGTAAATCCTACTTACGCGTAGAACATTTTAACTTGATCAAACCCTTTTTTCTGCCTCAAATCGGGGTCGGAAGATTGAAAAATCGTGTTTCTGCAAGTATGCGACCATTTTTAACTGCTTCTTAGGCAGTAGCACTGGTGCAATGTGTTCCTTAAATGTAGCACTTGATATCTAGTTCCTTGTGGCATATAACACGTGTCACTTATATGGCTCAAATTTGGCATTGGAGAGGCTAATATTGAAGAAAAAGGTGAAAAAATCGCAGAATCACACCACAACTGCCCAAATCAAGACAGTGGACCTTATTTTTGGCCAAAAATGATTGCATTTTCGAATTTCTCGTGGAAAATTAGCCCAAGAATGGACTATTCAAAATTGCATCAAGACTTCAAATGATACTCAGATTGATGTTGCCAATTAAAAACTCCATTCAAATACTCACAGTCAATTTTAGTATATTTTAACATTCAACCATTCGAGCTTTTTTTAAATTAAAAATAAGCTTAAAAAAATTTAAACCAGCCATTCTTAACCCTAATTTTTTGGTTTTTGCCCATAAGAAGTTTATACACCAAGTTTGAGCGAAATCGGAGAGGTCACTTGCAAATTTTGTCCCGCTTGGTGTGGAATCGTCGTGTTTTATTTTGTAAAAATGAGAATCATAGCGAAGGAGATTGAAAATGTTTGGATAACACAAAGTTATTATTCTCGCAGTATTCTCACTTAAAGGTCATGTGTGTCTAGTTGAACAAAAGTATTGTTTTTTTGAGACGTTGAAAAATTGAATCGAAAACGTTGAATAACAAAACCAGCGAAAAAAAAACGTTTCAATTATGATTTGTTGAATTGATGATGGGTGTCTTACCTTTGATTTGGTGACAATGTTGGAGGCGAGCTTAACAACGGCAAAATTCCCTTTGCCAATGGTCTTTTCCAACTCATAATAACCGACACGTACAAGCTTATCCATGTTGATTGAATGTGGATGGTGTCTGGACACTTTCAACGAAATCAGCTGGAACGCACGATCGATTTATATCTCAAATCGCTTTATTTTTGATTCACTATTTTGTTTTCTCACTTTTTTTCTTGTTAAAATGTTTTTTTTTTCTCGAAATTATGTTTCAAATATTTGTAAATTCATTGATCGTGTTCTTTTTTTCATCTACACGTTCGATTTTATCACTGTTTGCACATCGAAAATACACCTCCGATTACGAGCGATCGATCGATTTCGATGCATATTCTGTAATTCATGGTTCCACTGAAATTGCACTGTATATTTTGCACTGAAAAAAAAAACCAAAAGAGAGAGAGAGAAAAAAACGACGTTAATTCAACGTTGATTGTGGTCGGCTGAAAATTTGTTTGCTTAAAAAAAAGAGTATCAATACACAATGACGGCGACAACAACGACGACTACCGTCGAAACAACGGAATCGAGAGAAGAGCAGTAGGAAAAAAAAATGTGTATTCAGAATTTTGCTGAACGAAACACACAGCACAAGCGTTTTGACCAGCCATCAACCGAATGGGTCGAGAGAGTGGTGGTGTTGGTTTTGATTGAATGAGTGAGTAAGTGAATGAGCTGAAGCGCAATTGAGTGTGAGTGTATGTATCATCACTAAAGAAGCGGTAACTAGATTGCAACTAATGTGCATGAAATGCTCTGATTTTTCGAAACGTATTGTTTATTTGCACAAATCATCAATTCAATTGCTCGCTGTCTCCCTCGCTCACTCTCTATCCCTGGCTCTTGTGCGCGTTTATTTCTCCCGTTTCCATGATTTTTTTTCTTCTATATTTTAATGATAAGCAGTCACGATATATACACCGTAGTAACCGAACAGGCAAGAAACAGAAGAGAGAAAAAAAAAACCAACAACGATTGTGAACAGAAAATATGGCCAAGTCATAATTCAATATACACCAATCAGTTTGTAAGACTTTCCATTGCATTTGATTCGATGTGCTGTGTGTTGTTTTTTTTTCTCGCCCGATTCGAATAACTTTCATTGTAATCAAATTGCCGCACAAGCGACAACACACACGTGATGGACGATTAGTTGCACAAATTTCATATGTTGTTGTTGTTTTTTCTTTCTTCTTTGCATTCGTCCGCTTTCTCACTCCTTCCCTTTCGCTGTTATTGCTATTCATTTCTTCGTGTGTATGTTGCGTTTGGCTAATTCACTATGGTCGCGCTCTCGTTTTTATTGCATGTACTTTGGCATTGCACTTATTTGAGATTCATTATTGGCTTCGATTTGATACGTACAACCAAGAAAGAAGAAGAAGAAGAAAACACACTATGAATTGATTCTCATATTTTTGTGGCCGCCGATATAAAACGAACAACAAATAATGAACATTGAACATAACAACAACCAAGACGACGACGACGACGAACAAAAAACGTTATAATTTTTCAATTTGACTCATCGTATCGACACCAATCACTTGAAAATCAACAACGCCGATCGAGTCATACAATCGTGTTTCTGCTGTTAGCATTTTTTTTTCTTTTTCGTCAAATTTTACTTCTGCCAATTCGTTCATATCGCTGTGCGCCGCTGCTTTTTTTTTTTTCTTTCGGTCGCTAATTCTGATATCGTACGTTTCGTCAATTTGTCTCACCGTTTGCATAAGCCACTTGCGTGCTGCTTTCGATTGTCTCTCGATCGGTCAACATGTTTTTTTTTCTTTGGATTTCTGCTTTTGTCGACCGATCGCGACTTTTTCTTTAGTACTTGGCGCAATTTGTTTTTGGGATTGTTCAATATTTTTCGATATTTTCCACAGTTTCACGATTTTCGCAATATTTTTCGCTTGGATTCTGGCTATTGCACGGTAATTATTACGAAGAGATGTTTCGTGGCGGTTTTTCAAATGTTTCGTAGTTTTTTGTATATTTTACTCAGTTTCTTTACGCTTTTTTCTAATATTTTCGAAATATTAAAATTTCGCCTAGTATTCTTTTTCTTTGGTTCGGCTTCTTTCGATCATTTTCGGTCAAATTGTGTTGTATTTCCCAACACCCGTCCGATTTTCATTGATTTTGAACTTGTCGATTGGCTTCGCTATGCTTTGAAGTTTTTTTTTTGAATGATTTTTTTTTATCGCGAATCAATCGATCATCTGTGAAAATGCCACTAAACGAACACTGTTTCACTTGTACGAGCATCACCATCAAATTTCTCTAGTTTTTCTGGGCTCTTCTCTATTTTTCTCTCTTTTTCGCTATTTTTCTGGGTTCTTCTTGGTTTTTATCTCTGTGTGTATGTCATAATCACAACTAAAAGTTGCCCACGACCGAATTTCGATTTATTGCCATAAATTGCCCAATTGATAATATTTTTGAGCCTGAGTTTATTTCGGTTTCGATTGAGTCGGAAAATGTGTGTTTGTGTCAATTCACGCACCGTGCACGGCGGCACAGCAGTGGCAGCGACCTGTTTGATGTGCGAAAGAGCGGGCGCGTACTCTCGTACAACACACAGCGCGCAACAAAGAGAAAAATATATGATGTGAGATAAAATGAAATGACGCGTGAACCGCGAAAAACCAACTGTTCGATCATATAAATATATTCCGAAACGAAACGAAACAAAAAAAAACACACACAATGTTTGCACGTTCGAAACGAAATGAAATGATACACACGAAAGAAGCGAACAAAAAAAAAAAGAAAGACCGCGTCTCTCACTGAGCCACTGAGGGTGTGTGATCGCGGAAATGATGATATTGCTGTTTTTACTTTCTGTAGGGTACAAAAGCGAAGGAAAAAAGCACGAACACACATACCGCGAACACAACACGCACGTATCGAACACGGTTGTGTGTATGGTTTGTTGTTGTTGTTTCTTTTTATCAAGTCGATATTCATTCATCAGTACGAAATAGCAAAAGTGGTGAAATGAATATGAATACAACAACAGAGAGAATGAACGGACCGGATCAAGTAAATGCGGTGTGTGTGACTCGGTGGAAAAGGCAGCAGCAGCAGCAGAAGCAGCAACCGTAACACCGAGTCCATAGAGTAGAAGAAAAAAAAACTTGTTGTGCTATATACAATAATTTCAATATAGCTTTGGAGAGCTTGAAACCAATATGTATGAGCGAGAGAGAGAGTGAGTGAGTGAGTGAGTGATACGTGAATGCTTTCAATTACTAGAGCCAACAACTGGTAGTTCTCTACACTCTCTGGCACACATACACGTGCATTGGGCACGCGCGCGATACAGAAAAAGCGTACACACACACCAAATTTGTTTCACACTACCACGATACTGAGCGCTTTTTGGAAATCGACTTACAGCGACTAACAACAACAGAACAAGAGAAGAAGAAGAAAAAAAACACCTTAACGCCGAAATTCATAAAGAACAAATTTGCGATGGCCATCCATGGGCCAAAGTGGTGATTCGTTGTTTGCAAGATATTTTTGATAAACACACATACCAGAGACACTTCAATATCAAATGCCAGCCGAACAAAAAATTGTTATTTAATCTGTGTGGAGGATTTTCGGTTCTTATTACACACGATATCAGAAGGAAAATGTCGAAAGAAAAAAGCCGAGTGTGTTTTTTCTTCTTCTGGGCTTTCTGGGCCTAGTCTTCACAATCACAAATATTAAATGTGTTTTTTTTTCCTTGTCCGTTTAAGTGGTTGCCTTCTTCTTCTTCTTCACTGTCGTAAAAATTTTTTTTCAATAAAAACAAACCGTCCAACGTTTATCATAAAGTGTAATCAATACCCGGTCGGTTGATGTGTGCTTTGGGTATAAGTCATCGGGGTTTTCTGTATATATATATGGTGGAATATCCCAGAAATTAAAAACCTCAATATACATGGATTTCATGCTCTTTTGCATGATCAATCAACGTGCACTATCTTGATTAATGTTAAGCGCTTGTGTGTGAGCTGTCAATATTTGTCACTTGCCAATGTCTACACGACAGCGGCAGAGAGAGAGAGAGAGAGAGAGCGAGAGAGAGAGAGACGAAGAAAAAACTGATTGTGCATGTGATAACAAGATCTTCGCAACCAAATTCGAAAAATCGAATTGCTGTCGCTGCAATAGTCCATGGATGAGAAAACATAATTCCGATTGTTGTTTGTTACATATGTTTTACGGCCTTATAATTGCAATGTGTTGGCATTATTGACACAACCTTATCAGTTTGTGTGTTTTCAAGTGTTGAAACACTGAAAACGCGTCGATGCATTGTTGTCAATGATATCTGTGCCAAATTTTGTCGAAATATTGAAAGAATGTGTGAATTCAGTTCGATTCGCATCGATTATTTGGCGGTGTTTCACATGTCAGTGACAATTTTTTTCTCTCATTTTCGGGTCTTACACACATCATCGAGTCAGAATGAGAATGAGAACGAGAACGAGAATAAAAGCTAGAGAGAAAGACAAGGGAGAGATGAAGATAGAGAGAGGGAAAGAGAAAGAAAAAAAGAAAAAGAGAGAGAGAGAACATTACGCAGAGAACAAAAGAATAAGGAAGAGTAAGTCTCTTGATTGAGATGGAATGGGGGAGAGACTAAAAGAGATGCAATGAAATAGAATCAAAGTAGAGAAAAAAATGTGCGAAACATAGAAAAAAGAACTAAGACAACATTTGCACAGTAAAATTATAGGATGGTAGCTTAAGAGCCTTTCAAACGAAAGGGAGAGACACACACAGCGAATGAAAGAGACGAAAAGCGAACAGCAACAACAGCAAAAAAGCCAACATTGCTGCTTAATGATATTGGTATTCGAAGTGAGCGCAAAATCAACAGAAAACGACCAATGACAACGACGGCAATGATGATGATGATTGTTAATTGTGGTGTACGTTTTGTTGTTGTTGTTGCTTTTATATCGTACTTCGTTCATTTTGCTACCCTATCTTTTGACACCAGCTCAAGAATTTTTTTTTTCAAAAAACCAACCAACTAAAATGTTTCTGTCCACACCGTGTGTGTGTGTGTGTGTTTTGTCTAGTTTTCTTCTATTTTGAATTGGCATTTGTCGAAGTGAACGAGACCGTGCATAATTTATGCGATAATTCGAATCGAATTTACGAGACGGAATATATCCATTGCTCTCTGTATGCACTTCACTACTGTCAATAAAACGAGTCGATTCACTTGCTATGTGTTTCGTTCAGATTTTTTGTTGTCAGATGAACTGTGGCTTTTCGGTTGTGAGTTTGTTTATAATTTTGTATATATGAACATGCCTAAACAATAGTTTAACTGTTGTTTTGTTTGCTAGTTGTTGTTTGGTTTTCAGAAAACGGTATTCATCACCATACCATTTCCATCGTCGCATTCGAATATATAAACGTTCATTTTTTCTTCTTCATTTTTGTGCAATTTTCCGGAGGTGGAAAAAGGATGAACGCTTTCTGTAAATTTTCACTCAAAACATAATACACGAACAACCACCACACACACACACACACACACACGACACAAAATTGCCAAAATGTTTCCTCGATGATTTGGTCGACGATGAATAAACACTCTGTGTGTATGTGTAGAAAAATGTTCTTCTTTACTTGTTTTGTTCTTCTTGTTTTTGCACTCTAGTTCACAATGAAATTCGTTCACACACAATGCATGGCCATTCGAGTTCACTTTATCAACTTTTCGCTTCTCGCGTTTCGACATTCATCAAAGAAGAAACAACAGAACGCTGAAATAATATGTAAGGTACTGGCGAAAGGTTTTTCTTTCATCCAATCATGTGTATATGTATTTACAAAAAAAAAAAAAAAAAAACAACGATCTTTTCACAATTACTTTGCGTATGAGAAATTAATTTCATTTCTTCACTGTGTTATTGTTGTGTTGTGTGTACTTTTTATTGTTGTTCGCTGCTTCTGCTGTGTGTTCATCGTTTCAGCGGGACCGACGAGTGTGACAGAATGAGCGAGAGAGAAAAAAGTTTTACTTGTCAATTCACGTCATTTCACTTGATTATTTACACGAAGCGCGATTTGTCTATGTTTCCATGTTTTCCCGCAGCCTTTTCTTTTTCTTCTCTCGTTGACGTTTTTTTTTCTTCTTCTTTTCTTTTATTTATTGTTGCTTTTTTAATGTGTGTTCCACCGAGAGAAACACGAACGATTTTTTTTTTTTATTACCACACTCACACACCGTGTCCCGTTTTCTATTTTTCTTTTTGTTATATCAATTTTTATTTTTCCATTTTCGATATCACTCTCTCGGTGTTTGTTTCACCCTCGCAGAACCGAATCGACTGAGAAAAAAAAAATCCAACCGAACGTAAAATCAAAACCAAATAAAATGCATCGAATGCATGTGGTGAACACAGCTAAAAAAAAAAAATCTTGCAATTTTTTGCGACTATTTTTCGTCGTTTTTTTTTTCTCTCTTTTTATTTTTGGTGTCAGTCGCTCGTATAGCAATTATTATTTCTAATAAGACTTGCGCGAGTATAAATGCAGATGGCGGTGAAACGACGACTACATACTCTGTAATAACGCACACATCATGAATGCGAATATGAATTTCAGAACGACACTCACAGCAGCCAGCACAGCATACGAACGTACGAAACAAAATATAAACGTATTCATTCAACACACAAAATGTGTGTGTGGAAAGAAAGGAACAGAGCGAGAGAGAGAGAGAGAAAGAGAGAGCGAAAAAAAAATCAACACCAACCAACAAACCGAACCAACAACACAATGTACGTACGTACGATACGACTACGGCGACGACGTGCGATGTAAAAAGAAAAAAAAATGAATACTAATGTAGATAGACGTTGTCGAAGCAACCATACACATTACAACAAATTATGTATATACAAAGACGTAGGTAAGCTAACCAACGAATGAACTACTGAGAAGAAGAAGAAAAAAAATCATCATCGTCGTCGTCGTCATCGTCGCAGGCGTTCGTTGTGTACTTTTCATCGTCGTCAGTGCAGAGCAACAGACTGTGTGTGTTTTATTGGATCTGTGTCTCTGTCGGTGTGTGTATGTGTATGTATGGGCATTTTGTCGCGTTCACTCACTCACTTGCTCGTTGCTTTGCCCGCTGCTTTGCTCGTTCGTTCACTGGCTGTCATTGTATTGAAAGTGGCAGTCAAACACACATTCAACAGTCACATATGTATTTTTATCATATTTAGATTAAATAGAATATCGCCGATATATAGACCCAACTATACCAATACTAGTTTTTCGGGATAAGCTGAATTACTGGATCAAGAAGAATTTCGGCCAAAGTACAGAAAATAAATTGTCGCACCATTTTTTTTTTTTTTGCTTTTGCCATTTTATTCAAAGACGATGTCACACGACAACAATGAACGAGAAAGAGAAACGGTGAATCGTTGTCAACATTGAAACGGCAAGTGGTCGGTTGCCCGGTAATTATCAAGTCTTCGATTCAAACTTGACCACAATTCTCAGTCACAAATGGACTTTCATCCCAAACACCATTTGGGTGAGGAATATGAAATTTAGATGAATTGCGACGAAATTTTCGTTCCAAAAACTCGACTTATTGACGCCAATTTGAATTGAATGTAACGGATTGGTTGAACTGACGAAAAATGTCCCTTTCATCAGTCTTAATTGATTTCAATTGAAGTTTTCATGGGTTTTTCTCGTTCGTCCCTCGCTCGTGCATGGCCCATTCATCAATTCAATATCAGAGCACACAAATATCGACGACTCGATATTATTCTACAGTGATAAATGATAAATTCTTTTGGATTTGGTCATGGTATTTCAAATTAAACGAGATTGCCTCGTCGATTGTGATGATAGAAAATATTTATGAAATAAAATTCGGAATATTTGCTTTGTATTCATACTAGAACGCATGAAAAAAAAAACAACAAGATTCAAACCAATTCGAAATTCGGCTGTTTTCATTTCGAAATGACAAGACAATATTTTGACAAACAACGGTCGCGCTGTCAAAAGCTGCTGATACCACACCAATACATCGATAGCACGCGCGCACATCGGCCATTAATGGTTATTGAATGTTCGATGTTCGTCAATGTATAGAACTGGTCTGACCCGTGTGACTGTATGCGTTATGTGAGAGTGAGTGTCAGCATGAAATAGACTTGCTCCCCGTGCGTATTACATTTTCATTGACGTCATTCGAAAGAAGAAAAAATTGAAAGACAATTCCGTTCGTTTGTATTACATACAATAAACTTGCACACTTACGTTCTTGTGTCATGTTAGTTTTTTTTTCTCTTTCTCTTTCTCTCTTCTGTTCGAACATTCCGCAAACTGGACTGAATTGTCTCCAAAAACAACAATGATCCCGTTTTTTTTCTGATCATTTCTTTTTTTCGTTTCGAGTTTTTAGGTTCTTAGTTTTTCTTGAAAAAAGGCAACGTTTCTCGCTCGCTATATCAACTATGGCCTTTTAAATTTCTAGCCTTTTTTTTATTTCTGTGGCCTTTTTATATCTGGCTGAGATTTTCAATGGAATTGATCGGGTAGTAAAAATGCCACTAAAATGAATCGCCACCCCGACACACAGCAGCAGCAACAGCAGCTCACATCGAAAGTGAATACGCTTAACAACAACAATAACAGCAGCCGCAACGAAGAAAAAAAAAGAACAATCACATGAAAATGTGACTGCACGTTTTGTACATTATTTACATTGTCGCCAATCGGGCAATCAACAGCGCGCAACAGTAACAATAAAAAAAATGTTTACATTTCACGCGACATTGTCATCATCATGATTGTCGTTGGTTCGGTGCTGTTCATTCGTTGTCGATAGAGATTTTGCCATTTCTTTCGCTACACACACACACACACACACACGTTCACACTCTCTTTGATACATGCAAACAATTCTTGTATTTGACCGTCTCTAGCTCGACCATACGTTTTTTTTTCTTCTCTGTGCCGTTTGCATTGTGTGCATTTCGTAATCATCACAAAATGTGTGGATTAGTTCTTTCGTCGCTTTTTTTTGTTATTGTTTCAACGATTTTTTAACTAAGCACATAGAAACCAGATTCGAATGCGACACAAAAAAAGCGGTATTGATCTCACTTTGAAATTACTCGAATTGGAATATATCGAGAGTTTTCTCGTTGAGCTCTCTGAAAGAAATGGCTTATTTCTCAAAATCATCTGATTTGCAGATGGAAGAAGGTAAAAAAAAGAAGAATATACTCTATCCTAACTATTGAAAGAAAGAAGATACTCAAATTTCTCTTGAAAACACCTTCAAATTTGCCTGAAAATAATTTGAAATGGAAAAATACCATTGAATTAATATAGAAAAATCTATTCCAATCGATTTCGCCGCAATAGAAAAAACCGACACCGAGATTCAAATAAGAGCGCGGTCGATCGGTTCACAGCAATTCTATCAATAGGGTTTCATATTTGGCTGTTGCTATCTGTCTTTGTTTCGCACACATGCGAATGATAGTATGATGGTACTTCCTTCCTTCGTATGGTCACACTGTGTGAAACCGACGAACGAACGAAAAAGTCAACGACGCAGTAGAAACACGCTGTGTTTTTGACAAATCCATTTGACATTTCTCAGCACACACATATTTCAATTACTGACATTTGCTTGTTATTCTACTCCAGAGAAGGCAACAAATTATTTTGCCCACAAAAACAAGACACATCCACTGTTATTGTTATTTTTTTTTTCTCGCTCCGTGTAAACTTAATTTCAATTTCGACGCCATCCAACCAAACAAACATTTCTGTTTTGATGCAATCAACGACGAAACACACGATCATCGATTCGTTATCGTTAAATCGACGAATATTAAGCGTTTGGCGTGGAATTGGTAAAATATCGAGGCGAGCCAATGCAGACATTCAATTTAAACCGATTAAACGTGAGCAAATGACCGGAACAAAGAGTAAGATATTGAAATGAATTACCAACACAGAAAATCCATTAGATTAATCATTTCGTTTACAGTTTAATTGGTTTTTAATGTGTAACTCGGATTCTGTGTTGTTTTTATCGTGCAAAGTTTTGATTTAAACATAACCTCAAATGTCGGTTAGACGTTGTTTTGTTTTGTGCATTTAGTAATTTATTTGATTGTTTGCATCATTTTTTTTTTGTAATGTAAAACTTGTGATTGATCGGTTGTTTACGGTGTTTGAAAATTTCTCTTGGGTTAAATTAATCAAAAGGTTTCTCTCTCGAATTTTAGGTTTATTTGTATGAAGAAGAAGTAGAAACGAAACAAAACACACACAAGAGATAAAATAAAATGTCATCAAGGCGACCGCGAGTTAAAGCAGCTGCAATTTTGAAGCCTCGCCGACCGCAAACATCGGCCAATGAACCCAATGACATTGTGAAATCGGAAACGAATGCAGAACAAACGATTGAAGTGTATAGTAGGAGGAGAGATGATATTGACGAGACGCAGTCAACATCACTAAGATCATCAGCAGAAGTACCAGCTGTACCACCAGACCCAACGGTAGCTGTAATACAAACAAGCAATCAGTCCGAGTCGAAGCCAGATATAAAATCAATTTCAATCTCAGCCGTAAATTCACCAAAACATAGTGTGATACAGGATGCTGTCGATTCGGTGGAGAATAAGCCACCCGATGTGGTGGCATCCCCATCAAAAGCCGTGCCAAAGCCATCGAATGCGAGTGTGGTGCCGACACCGTTTCGTCGGATCTCAACACCGCCCGTGAACATTGTGAATCGTCGTAAAAGTCTCATTGCCACCAATGAAAATCGGCCGGGCTATTCGCCAAAGTACATGAAATCACCATCGTATTCATTTGTTCGTGATATTCCGTCAAAAGATACAAAATCGGTGATTCAATCGCCGCATCATTCGAAGCCGGCAACGAATGCAGACGATGACGTTTTTTCACCGGCACCAACCGAAAACGATGAATGCTTCAAGTCACCGCCATTCATGTCACCAATCTATACGAGGCGTATCGAACCGAGTATGAGTCCATTTCATGATATTTACGGTGAAGATTACACAAAATCACCGTCCGCAGCCATGCCAAACAACAAGATTCGGCAACGTATTCGACCGACACCATGTTTTGCCAGCCGAAGGAACAGCATTCAAGGTAGTGGCATCGGCGGTGCATCCGAATCAGAAGACGAACAACATCGAAGGCAACGTCACTATAGTACCAGTTCAAATCACAGCAGCTACAATCCATCGTCTACACCGCAACATCAACGCAACTATTTCGGTTTGAATAAAGTGCCGTCACGCGTTCGCACCGAATCATACAGTTCAAGCATATCGGATATTCCATTTTCGAAGAGTAAACGTTCACATCGCTCCGAAGAATATCAACGGGTGGCAAATGCAAAGCGAGAATTTAATCAACGTCTTAATGGCAAACCGCCCGATAAAAGTCGACTCACTATGTACGATCTCATTTATTATAATCCGCTGACGAATCCGATGAGCAAACCAGCCGGTAAAGGTGATAAAAACAGTGATACAGCCTCCGTATCGTCAGCGAAAACCAGTCAAAGCCGTAGCAGTGGATCGGTGAAATCGGAAGCATCTGGACCAGTTAAAACGGTCAAATCGGAAACGACAGACGCTGTCACCGGACCCGTACCACAACTTAAACTCGATGCCAACGGCGAAATTATTTTGGACGAAAAAAGTTTGGTGATCGAAACGACCGGCGATAAAGAGGCACGCGAAATGCTTGCCAATTCAGATGTTATTTATGACGATGAATTTAGTGGAAGTAAGTTTTGGGGGAGTTGGTTGTTTTTTTTTTACACTCGATAATCACTTTGGCTCATGATTTCGTTGATTTCTGAATGTTTTCTTGTTTTCAAATGTTTTCTTTTTATTTGCTCCATCTACCAATTCTTTCTGATACTGTTTTATTCAGTAAACTGATTTAGCTTCCAAACTGCCAGTTCGAAGCAGGCAACCTTTAAACCCAATTTTGGTTGCGATTCACTTTATTTATCGATTTTTGTTTGTTTTCCCTTTAGCAAGCGGCTTTTATAAAAGGCAAAAACGTACTCGAGATTGGCTTCCTTTGGAAACGCTCAAATTTTATCGATCACTTCAAACAATCGGCACGGATTTCTCAGTTATGCTACAACTATTCCCGAATCGGTCAAGGCGAGACTTGAAATTAAAGGTGAGTTTGACTATTTTGACAATTCTATTTCGAAAGTGTTGCTCAGCCATGACAATTTTTTTCTGATTTTTTGAACAAACTTCCGAAAACTACTTACTTTTTCACCTATGCCATTTCAATGACTTGAGAAAATGACCTTTTATTTAGCTGTTATTTCATTCGTTTCGACTTCTTATTCTTCACATTGGAAGTTTCCGTTTTTTCATTCTTCAAATTTTTCATACTTCAAAACAGAAAAATTTTGATACTTCAATGAAGAAAAAAAGATTTTCAATGCTACAAAAAATATACTGTATGGTACAGACTTCCTTTTTATACTTCAACCCATCAAAATAAAAACTATGCCCCATTCCATATTTTCAGTTCAAGAAAGAAGAAAAGCACAATATGGCCTTAATAAACAAAGCACTGTTGCATCCCAAAGAATTTAATGTTGATGAATTGAAGCTTCAGTTTGACAAAGAGGACGAAGAAATCGAGCAAAAGAAACAGGAATGGGCTGAAGTGAGGAAGAAAATGGCCAATGAACGAAGGTGAGTGGATTGGTTGTCTTGTGCGTTTTTTTTTTATTAATCCATTCGGAATTGAAGATTTGTTTTTTTTTTACTCAAACAAACTGAGTTAAAAATCTACTCAAACAAACCTGAGGAAACGAACAAAATCTGAAATGATCAACAAAATGTTGATGGAAATCCCGATTTTTTCTTCGACAGGGAGCAAATAAATGCATCGAGAAAACGCAATCCAAATCGGCAAGTGAGTAGGTCAATGCGGAATTTAACCGATGGCGACATTGTGTACGAGAATGAATTTGTGGCGCTGCCGCCAAAGGCGAGGCGATCTAATCGAAAGCGAAATGTTGTAAGTCAATCAATTGTAATCAAACGGAAGGCCCTTAGCCCATTTACAAGTGAATGTTTAAATTTTCGTACAATTTGTGTTTTTTTATTACAAAATGTACGGAATCGTAAAAAGTTCAGAAGGAATGGGTTGGAAAAAGATCTTTATGAAGATTTGGCAATTCTGTTGAATATAGTTTCAATGCAACTTCTGCTAATCCAATGCCAATATCTCCCCTAAACAGACTGCTGATATTTTGGATGCGCCGGCCGATGCAATGCTCAGTCCACTGTCATTGAATCACAATAATAATCATGTAGATAGTCTGCCGCAACACACATATGCCACGCATAAGCTGCCAAATTTCATAGAAATTATGTCAACGCAAAAATCGCGTCAGTCATCGCACAGTTCGAATCCCGTTCCCACTGCAGACACCTCACCCAGCCACATAAATCATATCGATACGGCTCCAAGTCCGGTTGCAATTGAAACAAATGGCATATACGAAGCCGACGAGCAATCACAGCATGCCATGGATCTGTCCACAACGTCGTTGATCATTCACGGTGGAAATAGCAATCACGAAGCCGACACTACGCCTGCGCCGACAGACGCAAATGAATCAACAATTGGCCAGTACATTGCGAAGAATCCAAATTTAACATTCAAAGGATCGGGTGATATTATGAATATGGACATCATATTTGAGAACGTTTCGATTGAAGAGGACGACACGATTGGTACAACAGTGTCATCTGAATCAAATGTCGAGACGACTGTTGATGAATCCGCGCCCATTGTAACAACGATTACGGAATCTGAGCCGGAGAATTTGGTGAAAATCGATGGCATTCAATACGAGATAATAACAGTTGCCAACGAAAAGCAATGTGATGATGACCGAACGTCAGACGATGATGAAACAACAGTCAAAGTGATGACCGATGCAACAGAAACGGTGGAAGAAGTGGATACAATACCGGTGATAAGTCAGGGATATGAAGATGAGAATTATGTGTACACTTCATCACCCAATGAAATGGTCATTATGACGTGCTCGAACTTGGATGTTGCTGCCGAAATTGAAGCCGTTGATTTATCGAGTTCAGCCATTAATTTAGAATCAAGTGGCGCCATTGATGTGTCTGAATCCAGTGCAGTCATCCACTTATCTGAACCGGTTGCCACTATTGATCTGCCCGAATCAAAGGCATATCATGCAACAGCTGCCGAGACAGAGACCGAAATCGAAGCTGTTGAATCCAAAGTAACGGCTGGCGAAGCAAGCTACGTCAAAACCGAGGCATTGGCCGTAAAAGAAGAGATTATAGAACCGGCAGCCACCGTCCAACCGACCGACACTGAACGAAAACGTAAGCGAAAAGTTGTACCAGTGTTGACATATGCCAAACGATCGAGGCGCGGTGCAGCCAAAGCGATGGAAACCAAATCAAAAGATGTGCCATCAGAAATTCAAAGTGATTCTAGAGTAGAAAATCAAACGGAACCATCGATGCCAACGCCACCGACGCCGTCATCACCGCCACCTCCCACAGAACAAATCGAACCGTCTTCCATGGATCAAACATCATCGCTGGACAATAAATCCGATGAACAAAACCCGAAAGAAGAACAAATCATCACTAATGAGGATAGTCAATCGAATGACAATGACTACGATAATGGCAATCAAGATAGAAATTTCATGGATTCATTAGTTGTAGTTGAGAGTCAAGATCCAAGCGATGCAAATCGTACGATCTATGAAGTCTATGTTGTCGACCCGGATACGAATGAAATGAGCGAAAAACCACTCGACTTACCAGAAAGTGTGCTTCAACGCATCCGATTATCAATGTCATAACGATCATTTGCGATTAGAATCAACAATCATCCACTGTTAATACGTTCACTGTTAAATTTCGTTCATTTTAAAACATTGATCAAAATGGAATATGCATTTTTTTGGTTGTTTTCGACTCGCTCTCATTATCTCATCACAAAGCAATCAAAAAATCCATCTAAATTTTAAAGTTAGATTTGTAACATATCAAATTAATATTTAGTAGTTGAACATTATTTAAAAAAAAAATACCAAGAGAACGTATTTTTTTCACATTGGAATAAACAGAAAGAAAAATGCAATACTTTTTACATGAACTGAACGAAACGTTTCTTTATTGATAGACTTTTTATTAGCATTGTTGTTGACAACAGAAAATAATTCTTTAAATCGATTCTGGTAAGTTTGTGATTTCTATCAATTATAATAATGCTCACATTTAAAATGATTTTAACCACAGCTTAATTCTTTCTTATTCAACTTTATCGTTGATATGTCTAATGGACAGACATTGTTCATTTTGTTGCAAAAGGTAATTTCGTTTGATGTGTGTGTGTGTATTCTTGTTTTCTTGCGGTTCTTTTCGTTCTTCTGTTTCATGGAATAGAGGAAAGTTTATGAAGTTTTTTACCAGTTCCCTTGAGTTGTTTGGAACAACTTGTTCCCCATGTACCAAAATCAAAAGTTTCGTTTTATTACACTGACAATTGCATATTTTCAACTGACCAAATTCATTTTCTACTAAAGAATTATTATTATTATCCTTTATTTTGTGTTTTGCATTTAATCTACGTTTTCGATGTAACCAAAGTAGTATTTGCTTTGCTACTATTTCCCAGAGAAGAAAATTATTTCGATCAAGAAAATCAGTTTTTTCTGTGAACAGTGTACAGTGGGCAAATCGAACGGCTTTATTTACATAAAAGATGGTTAGTGGATTTATTCGGTTAGTGGACCATTTGCTTTAGTTGAGAGGAATGAGAAATCTTAAGTTGAGAAATCTGTTAATATTTAGAGAGGTTTCTTTCCAAGGCTTCGCTGGGCTGCACATCAAATTTTTGTAACGGGTTTTCGCCAATGTTATGCTCTCCCAAAAATATCCTCGCAAGTTGACCTTAAGTTTGCAATTTATCCTTTTTAAAGTCGCATTTTGAAGATCTTACTATGATTCACAAAAAATCCAAATAATATCTCATTTATGATCAATCTACACGATCTTGATCTTGAAAGTATGATGAATTGTGAACTCGAATCCAAATTCCGAGGAAGATTTTTGGAAGAGTCCAAAATTGATGAAATTCCGTTACAAAAATGCATCTATTACCATACCTTCACACAAATTAGGCCCAGAGAAGTCACAGAGCGAAAACTTCCAGAATGGACATTTTTTCTGTGGACATAAGCTAACGATTTTCCATTAGCTTTCTTCGGAAATCCATAGGGTACTGGGGGGTAATTCGCGCCACTTTTTTTCCTAATTTTATATTCCCATGAAAATTGAAAAAAATTCAGGAATGTTTGGTATCATTTTGTAGCTTGTCCATTTACCTAACTTTTATAGAAGAAATGTTTTTGGTTTGATCCTCTTTGGGGTCCGATATTGCCCTTCGGGCAGATGCTTCCATTTCGAGCTCTGCAAAAAACCGTGGGGTAATTCGCGCCACCACACGGGGTAATTCGCGCCGGCCCCATTTTATAAGTTCATCTTTGAGAAATTGTTTATTTTATGATTTAATTATCTTCAGACATTCGAATATAAACAATTTCAACCATTGGTTGACTGATCTTAACGTTTCATGACTCTCAAAAAATAAAAGAAAACTAGTACCCAAAATTGATGAAACGTGCCCATTAAATGTTAACAATTTTGAACGTATATCAGTCAAAACTGGGATTTTTGAGATCTAAAACTTTCTGTCGATAGGAATAGTGCCCATTTACATTGTTCCATTCACAGATATGAGTTATAAGCAGTTCTGAGTGGTTTATTTATCGGTTTATTCCATTGTTGATACCATTTTTAGGGTCATCAGTCTGAGGCTCATGGTGCGACATGGGAATATCAGAATGGAATCAAAATCAATCCGAGGCTTTGCCTTAACATGCCAAAACTTTTGCCGTTTTCGGATCTTAATTATCTTGTCAATTGTTTGAGTTATGTCGCGCACAAGAAATGCGAACGCAGACTCGGATGACGCCATAGGCACATCACAGTTTTGGACATAACTCCGTCAAAAAATAATATTTTTGAGATCTGGAACTTTTGATTGACCAGTATAAAGTCCATCTACATTGCCACATTCACAGATATGAGTTCCGAGTGACCAATTAGCGGCAAAACGCAAAAATGAGGTGGCGCGAATTGCCCCTTGTGTTTGTGGCGCGAATTACCCCGACCCATATGTTGCTGTTCGGAGTTCGATTCAGCCACAAAAATTGAAAATATTCAAAACAAATTTATATCCTTAAGAAAGAGCTGGTGAAAAGCTACAAAATACATCAACCCGGTTTTAAAAAATAATAAATTTTAATGGTCAAAGCTGAAATTCTGTGAGCTCGAAAAATGAACTCAGTACTAACACAAAACACATTTATGCCTGTAGATTGCTTGTACTCGAATGAATAGCTGTCAAATTACTAACCAAATACTGCATTTTTCTTGCTCTTTCAAATGACACCAAGATCATTAGTATATGTATTACCTGTGTCGAGAAAAGGCCGATGGCGCGAATTACCCCCCAGTACCCTATGTATGAAGCCATTCAATCGGCCTATCCAAATGTTTAGTGAACATTGTTCATGTTATGTAATAAAATTTTGTGATTAATTTTGCATCGAAAATACCTATAAATTTACCTGAATTTCGCATTTGTTTGTTTCAATCAGAAAACTTATCCAATTTTTACATAGAAAGTTTGATTTTTCTTTTCATTTTTGTATTAAATCAACGTTTATTAAATGTTTGCTTAAAAATTTCATTAATTTTCCATTAGATTCCAATTTTGGTTTGTTTTAATTTCTGTTTGGCCTGATTGAACTTTGATTTGATCGACTGAAAAAATTAAAAAGGCCAAAAAAATTTCCAATTTGAAATTCGTCAAGAAAATCCAATGCAAATGGAATTGCAATGAATGTTTGGGAAATTTTTATGTTTACAAGTTTTTCTCTATACATCTTACACTAAAAATTTCCTACAAAGTGTACCTAAATTAAAGCTTCATTTTACAAAATAATATGTTCAACAACAATAAATAATATGAAAACACATACAGATACAATAGGTCTAAATAGTTGTCTGTTGTTTGTTTTTCTCTGTTTGTTTTTTGTTTAGGTTTTTGTGTAGCTCTAATTGCATATATCCATCAAGCTTGTATCATTCGATATGACAAGAAAAGACACACGTATATTAAAATATTTAATAAAATGTATAAAAAATCGTAAGTAGTTGTTATCTGTTTGAACCGAATGTATCTGCGGCTTGTGAATCACAACACATCGCAATCGGTCAAAATATATTTGGTTTTTATTTAAGGCAAATGGTTTTTATATATCAAGTACGTTTTTTTTTTCTCTCTTCGATCCAAATTCTGTTGCATAAAATTTGTGTTTCATTTTAAATTTCATAATTATACAAGCACATACATAGATAGAGTGATAGAGAGATGGTAGAAGATAGCTTTTTATTGATTGGTCTACATGTATGTTAGTCGAGGTCTTGTCATGTCACAGCACCTCAATAGTAATAACAACGACGACAGCAGCATCAATGGAATGAAAAAAAAGAGCAGCTGTGTCGTGGTGATATCATATTGTCTGCGTATAAGGCATTATGTATCACCTCATTGTTTGAATATTTTATTTTAACCATTGGCTGCGTTATTCACCTTCTCCGTCTCATACATACTTGATGTGTTGTTCTTTTTCTTCATCAATCGAAAGTGTCGTGTGCTCTACAAGTGCTCGGTGCATTAACTACGTAGAATAAAAAAATGTTCATTTTTTTGGTTGTATGTGGAAAAACAATAGAAATTATTATAATGATTCTCTTTTAAATTGACACTTTTGTTGATTGTTTGTTTCTCTCTTTTAATCATTCAGACAATAGTAAATAAATAGTAGTTATTTTCACAAAATTAATTGCTGAACGCATATATGGATGTTGTGACACAAACACACGCACGTACGTCAAAAAAAAAGAACAAACTTGACTCGGTTTTACCGTTTTTATGTGTACGATGTACGCGGGTTCACGTTTATCATTTCCGTTGTATTTTTGGCGTATTTAATGTGGATGATTAGCAAAACGACGCCCAACACAAAGCACACCGAACCAACGACAATGTATGCAATGCCCAAGAATGGATTTTTTCCACCAATTATCGATGTGGTCGATAAAATCATGAGTTTGCGACCGTCAAATGCGGTCACTGGATATTGATAGTCGACAAACAATGTGTAGTTGCCTTGTTTTAAGCCATTATCAAACATTTTCACCGCGTTATTGATGCGTCGATAAAGTTTACGGAAATTGGGCAAGGCTGCGGTACGCATCCAAACGATGAGGTCTTCATTTTGGAAACCATTATTTGTTGGATCGTCATCCAATTCGTACAATTCCTTTGACCATGCAATTGGTTTGGAAAAGTTTTGCAGTGCTGTTTTTAGATCACCACCCGGATTGGCAAATTTGATTTCTTTGTCGGATGTCCATGCGATGCCTGTTCGCAGCAATGGTACTGGATAATCGCTGCCATCGTTATTATGCCAAGTAATGTTTAGCGTATCGTTAAACAATGAATTGGCTATGGCTCCACATGGTGCAATTGGTAATCCATTATTCTTTAGGAATGGATCACAATCCGATGACGGATCCTTTGATAAGTGTCCGAGCAATTGGTCATCATCTCGTGATTTTACATAACGTCGATGGTTTTGATAGAAATTCGTTAGGCCATAGTACATGTACACTTCACCCGGAAAATCTTTGGTGAGTGTGAAATCGATCTTGCATTTGCACGTTATATTTTTCATTGTGCTAGCTTTTAAAACGCTATCACATGTTATATTCTCCCCCGGCCGTGTGATATCGTAGCAATCGTATGTATAGTCGATCACATGTTCGCTAACATTTCCCGAGAATATCAACAGACCAATGCCCACCGGGATAAATGCAATGCCAATGATGAAGAATGATGGCAATACGGTACCAGCGGTTAACATCGGTTGCCATGCTGGAAGTCGTTGTTGCTTGAACGCTGAGCCTGAAGGTCGTTTCGATTTTACATTGTTTTCCACCACATCGCTGCCTGGCATTTTGACTGGGTTTTGGATCGACGAACTCGGTTGTATCGATGATCACCAATTGAATGCTGACGTTTCTTCTTCTCCTTCGATTTTTTTTCGACCAAATGTTTTCGGATATGTTTACGCCACTTTTCTCTTGTCGTATCGATTACTCACACAATTTACTTTTCTCTCTCTCTCTCTCTCTCTCTCGCCTTCAATGTAATTGTTCTTTTTTTCCACTCACATGAAATATGTTGAGCTACTCTCTTTTTTTAGGGATTTTTGCGACGGAATAAACTTCACTGAATCGATTGTTTTTATCGAATTTCGAAATTTCTACGGTATTTAGTCGTCATACCACGGACAAAAAATGCAATTCAACTGGATTGTTATGTGAAAATCAATAAATACCCATATTTCTCAGTCGAGTTTGATGTGAATGACTAATATACTTGACAGATGACATTTGGTGTGAAGTTAGCGTCGAATTGGATGTCACTCACAACTTAGGTGGTTGGATTTTCAGTTTGAAAATATACGTTTGGAATTCCATTTGTGAGAAGAAATTACCTTCTTTGATTATTCACTCCATTTTTTAATAATGAATCTTTGTTAAACATATTCTCTATTTCATTTGCCCCCAAAGGAAATATATCATTTTTTGAATCTTTTTTCTTCTGAAAATAAACGTTTCATGTACGCATTTATTTGAATTACAAAATTTTCATGTTTTTTTTTTCTCGGTCAAATCCAATGGCGTTTTGTTTTATTTACTGTTTAAACTTAAATACTGGGCTACTCGATGCCACTTGAATAGAAAATTTAGATAAAACGACTTATTTTGAACCCATTTATCACATATCGAACAATTTTCGCATGTCTTGGATCGACAATTTTGAACCGCTACCCTGTTTGCTTCCCGTTAACACGTTATCCGATAGCTGTAGCTTATTCTCTTGGATCGATTGAATGTGCTTCTCCACGGTTTTTTCGCATAGCAATCTGAAAAATGGAACAGAATAAGTTTGAGAATGGTTTTTAATCGAAATATAGTGATGGAGGTCACGGTAAGGATGAAAAAGTATAGGAAAAACGCAGTAGGAGCAAAGAACAGATTGTATTCAACGAAAATGGAAGAGTGTTCCCGAAAAAATGACCATCAATATCTTTCCCTTGGGTTCAACAAGCCGCCAATTAGCTTTGTGAATCACACTGGCCGGTAATAATTCATGATGCCCATTTGAAAAAAAAAGAGGGAAAATGTAGCTCACTTGTAAATCTGAACATCTTTGGTCTGGCCAACACGATAGATTCGATCGAATGCTTGCGACTCCAACTGTGGATTCCAATGTGGATCGAGCAATATCAGATGGTTTGCTCCCGTTAAATTCAAGCCAACACCTCCTGCTACCAATGACAACATCATCACCTGAAATGACACAGAGTTTAAACATTGATTAAAGTTTTTGCGATGTCATTGAAACTTTATTGGTTTTCAGAATTTCTTCACATTCAACAAGTAACAATCTTCATTTGGAACAAGATTTGAATGAACAAAACAAGTGAAAAACCTAGGAATAAAATATGTCCGATGATATGAATCATTTAGTAATTGATCGCTTATAGCAAACCTAGCTTATAGGCTCAATGGGATGATAAATTATAACACCTCATGCCCGTCTTGAGCGTTGAATACTTACACGTTCCGGTGAATCGGGATTGTTGAAACTGACAACGATGTTGTTGCGATCTTTAATCGGAGTTTTGCCAGTCAGTTCGACGTAATGCACTCGCTCGCGATGCAACAAATCGGCAACGATCGTCAAAAATGTGGTCCATTGCGACACAACAACGATTTTGTCATCGGATTCACGCAAAATACGCTTGACAATTTCAATTGTTCGTTTGCACTGAAAAAGAGATGGGAAGGAAAAGTGTGAAAAAATATTGGGAAAATTAAAGGAAAAAAATGTTTCGATTGAAAGAAACAAGAAAATTTGGAAAGGAGGTAACGAAAAGTCTTAAGTTAAGATTCGTCTCTAGCTTCGAGAAATTCCTGAATATTTTCAAAAAAGACTTCAAAAGTCTGCATAAAGAAAAAAGTCCGCTTTCTATAGAAACACGCTCTACAATCCCATTCTACAAGCTCCTTCGAAAAAAAAGATGAAAAAAAATTCTCCCAAACGTACCTTCGAACTAGGGTGTTTGAAGTCATACATTTTGTTCGTGCTGAGAAGAATGTTGCTGGATTTGACCTCTTCTTCGGAGGAGCTGTTGTGTCCACGTCCTTTTCCATCGTCGTTAATTTTCAAGCCAATCATCTGCTTAACAATGTTCATGTCAACCGAGTCGTATTCTTCTTCATCACAATCTTCCAAATCGCATTCATCTTGTAGCATCTGATGAATAAGACCCGGATGATCGCAGATCTGACGCAATCGTAGCAATAATACCAAAATCTGTGATGATTTCACATCTTGACCACGACCAAACTTTCGCACTTGATCTAAACGCTTCTGAACATCAGCGCCCAATGTGAATTTGCCGCCACCTGGTACAGATCCATGTCGCTGCTGATGCTGATCCATGTATTGAGCGAATAGAGTTTGGGAATAGGCCAGAATTTTTGTATAAATATTTGCTTCGTCGGGCGTTAGTTCGACATCTTCAATCAGGATATTTTTGCTGGGCAATGCTTGTAGTTCGCCTTTGATTTGAAGTTCGGTTTTGGTACGACGCAGTAGTAATGGCTTTAGAATGTTGTGCAATCGACTCATTCCGGCCTCGGTTTTCGGGTCAATCCATTTTTTGTATGTGGCCAAATCGTCGAACGGTGTGACACGCAAGAACTTTAACATCGAATACACATCCATGTGTTTATTTTGAATGGGTGTACCAGTTAGGCCCCAGCGCAGATTACCACGCAGATCACAGCAACCCTTTGACACAGCCGTTGTATGGTTTCGTATCATGTGCGCCTCATCCAACACAATTCGATCCCAGCGTATACGGAACAATGCACCCTGAAATGAAGGCGCGATGTGAAATTTTTGAGCACGAAAAGCGAATCCAATAGATTTTGAACACGGAAATTTAACAGAACCCCAACAAATACTTACATTGTTCTTGTGGTCACTGCTGATAATGCCGTATGTTGTAATGACCAAATCATACTTGCAAATCGAATGAGCCGTCTCATTTCGTTTATTACCATGCATCAAAAGCACTGTCAACTTACGCCGTTTCACACGGTTATTGATTTCAGATTCCCATTGATTTATGAGCGATGCCGGACAAACGATCAACGTTCCACCTGGATAAGATGCATGAGAAACAAGTCAAAATATGCTTAAATGAATGCTTGGGATTCGTCAAAATTCGTAAGGCAAAGTGATTCAATTGGCCACACTTCCCCATTCATGGATATTAGTCAATTTTTCTGAGTCGATTTCAAAAGAATCTTCGAAGTTCAAAAAATGTTTTTGGATTCAATTTTAGCTTTGAAGAAAGTCATCAATATAACAAACAGAAAACTCACGAAATCTTACAAAAATCGACCGATTTGCATTGAAAAGTGATTCGAAACTGGAATTTACCTTGATTTGAGTACGACTTCTTGTAACCACGTTCATTTTCATCGTCGCTTTCACTTTCGTCTTCGGTATTTTCATCTTCATCTTCATCTTCCTCAGCGAGCGATTGATGTTTGCGATATTTAGCGTCCAGCACTAAACCGATCACTGTCAATGTTTTACCTGGAAATTGAAATCATCAGCATATGATAAAAACCGAGTTTATTAAGTCGAATTAAGTAGAATGTGAATAGTTAGAGCATTAGTGTTCATAAAGTTCAAATTAAGATCTCAAATTGTCTTTATCCAAGTCTAAAATTCGGTTTCTTTGCTTGTTTCTGTCTTTATACAACGAATTATTCATCGAATCTGATTCAATTTATCTAATCACGCTCAATTAAAAGGTCACTTCCCCAATTGTACTTACCTAATCCCATGTCATCGGCCAATATACCTCCTTTCGGTTTCTGATTGAGAAGAAGATAAACAACATTTTACATTCAGTTTGTTTGTTTGTTAAATTAATTTATAAAAACAACCAGGGCGGAATGAACTAAGATGTTAATCTAAAAATAATTCTTCTCACCTGAGCCTCGCGCCACCGCATCCACTTAATGGCATGCAATTGATGTGGCATCAGCTGAACGTTGAGATTGTCGGGCTGCCGTGCAAGATCATCGGGCGTTGGACACTTGTCCATGGCTTTGTGCAACTTTTCGATACGTTTGAATGTGAGTGTCTTCTGTGTATTGAATGTGGATAGCCCCTGTTCACCGGTCCAACGTGGCTGAATGTTTTTTAGATCATCTAGATCAGCGCGCCAGTCTTTGGCCTCAATTTTTGGTTTATTGTTATTTGTCGTTTCAATCACCATGATCTCATCCAAATGATCCTCTTCGATGGCATATTTTGCGAGCTCCCCTTCCATCTTATGTACCTGTCGTTGCAAATCGTTGACGCGTCGCTTCAAATTTTGGCCCTTGTCGGGTAATGTTGGAGCAAGTCGGTTGAATAGCTGAGGATGATAGAGAAATATAATTAAACATGAAGTGAAAAAGAAAGAAAGGTTTAAGGAAGTTGAAAAGGAGCTATAAAGAATGGACATAAATAGGACGACAAATGGAATGATGCTGCTATTAAACCTTACCTCTTCATTTTGCGTAAGCTCTTGCTTCACTCGAATCAATTCATCTTCTTTTTTCGTGTAAAAATCACGAGACACAAAAGTCTTATTGAACTTTGGTTGCTGTCGTCCGAAATGCAGCTTTGGCTGAATCAATTTTCCACTTGTTCCGGGCGTTGAGGTGCCAACCCCTTTGAAATCGATGGCCGTGCTGTTTGACAACGGTTTGTGATTCTCTTCATCGCTGGAATTCAGCACGACCACCGAATCAACCGATTTCATCTCCTTATCCGACACGCTGATGTGAATGCTGCTCGTTTGGCTCACATTGGACTTATCCGAAAATTCAATGTCAGGCGTCGAACGAGATGGTGTACTTGTTGAAATATCCACATTATGCTGACTGAACCGTTTTGCATTGGGTGTTTTGATAACTGCTGAATCATTTGGAGCGATACTTCGATTACGTTTGAAATTTTCAGTTGTATCATAGTATTTGGTTGCATCCACCGATAGGTTGGCATTCGAACGTGATGCGGCCGAATCGGATGCTTCACTAAATATTTCGTCATCATCTTCGTCCGAGTTAATCACTGACGGTTTGATCGATCGACGACCGGTTATGCTGCGACGAGTTCGTGGCGAAAATACATGCATTTGCGAACGCTCGGCATCTTCCTCTTCATCCTCATCGTCTGTCTCGGGTATGACTACCTCTGAAGATTTCTACATCGGAAATGACAACAATCGAATTAAAATCAAGGATTTTTCGGCGGGTTTTGCTTATTTTGGAATAAAATCTCACAAATGGATTCACAAATCATTCAATGAAAACCAAATTTAATGGGATATTGAGAATTTTCGGCTTACCGTGCTATTTAACATGCTTCGGTCACTTTCATTCGCATCACTGTTTCCAGACCGATTGAATCTGTTTCGGCTCTCGCGATTCGATTTTCGCTTTGATCCATTGCTACGTCGTTTGGTCATGCTTTTTCGATCGTTTTTTGAAACATTTTCATCGTCACTTTCGTCTTTGACTTCACTTTTGTTTTCCTTGTTTTCCTCATCGGACCCATACTCGTTTGAATCCTCCTCATCCGACTTATTGTCTGATCCTGACTTTCTTTCGTCTGATTCCACTTCTGATTCTTCACGATCTTTATCAGACTCCGAATCAGAATCGAGAATCAATCGTTTTCCTATCTTCTTTCTCTTGTGTACAATAACTGACTCGTCAGCCGCATCATCGATGAAATCATTGGCAGCACCATCCATCGAGCTCTGATCACTTTGATCATCGTTGCTATCATCCGTTGTTTCATTGCCGCTTTGATTGATGCTTGCATTGGTGGCATCATTGATGCTTGCATTGGTGATTTCATTGATGCTTGCAGCATTGGTGGTATCAATGTTAGTTTGATCGTTGCTTTGATTCGATTGCGAATCGTTTGTTGTATTATTGTACGATGAATTGTTCATTGAGAACCGTGAAAAATCGTTTTGGTCACTGTCACTCGCCATATTTGGAACTCTGGAAATGAAAAAAAAAATTCAATTCAATTTTCATTCGAACATAGTTGGAAAGGACATATTTTTGCATTTTCTGTTTTTTTTTTTTGACAATTCATTTTCTGAGCTTAAGTCTACAACTGAAAATTTTTCTCGAAAAATCTCCGGAAAAGCCAAAACATTGCGCAAAATGAGCAGCGATAGACGAATGACCATACAAGTAATCATGATGGAAAATATCTATATCTAAGCTCCAGAAGTGACAGAAAATAGACATAATGAAGCCTTATTCAGAGGATTTTTGGAAAAAAATCGAAACTTAATGGGAAAAACAATGTCCAATTGAAGAGTCTCGAACAAAATTCTGGATCCTGAAAATCCGTCGACTAATATGAAAATCGATGGAGAATCGATATAAAAATTGATTGAAAATCATTATGAAAATGACCGAAAAACTACGCGGCAAATCAAATTGACTGAGCTCAACAGCGTGAGCATGTTTTGAAACAATGGTGTGTTGGTGGTTTTTATGCTCTTTTAGTATTGATGCACCAGAAAAGTGTGTTTACTCTAACGGTAGCGACCTCGTCTACTATGACGATGGGTGGTTGTGAATTGCAAAAAAAAGAGTCAGAATCGCAAAAATTTTCTCGTTGTTAAATGATCTCGTTTGATGGTCATCGAGTTGAGAAAAAAGAAGAGGAAACAAGTTGTTTCAAACAATGATGGAAACTAAAGGACCAATTGGAACAAAAATCTACGATAAATTGGAGCAAGAATTGAAAAAACTTCAAAAATTGGAAAAATACAAAAAAAAGGTTCTTCCAAAAGAATCGATTCTATTTTTTAAAAAAATATTCTTTTAAAAGGTTGACGAAAAAGTTAGAACAAATTTCAAAAAAAAAAATGACCGAAAAAATACTCGGCGAACCAAGTTGCCAATATTCCGTAATCCGAACATGTTGTTGTAATTTGTGTTGGTCGTCAAAGTAATGGTATTTTTTTATATTAAAATGTTCGATTCCGAGAAAAAAGTGTGCCGATATTAACGGTATCGCCTTTGTCAGCAGTGACCATTTTATTGTGAAATTCAATGAAAACTGTGTACAAACCTTTTCCCGCTTGATGTTCAGTCGATTTTAATTCCACATACACACACACGAACACGATAAAAAAAATAAACAAATTACACAGAAAACAAATTACGAACGGACTAAAACACAATCCATTGATGATTAAAATAAATAAAATGGTTTAAAATATGCCAAAACACTCGATTCTATAGAATATCATCCGTGATGTGTGTTGTGCAGAAAGTGCGTTGTTACAGTTTCAAAATATTGTTGGTGTTGAATGTCGTTGCCGCACGAATTGAAATTTCAATTTGGACTGGTATGAAGTTGGTGTCGATGGGCGCGCAAAATGTCATTCGAACCATCACGAATTTTTCGTGTACTTGGTGATTAAGTACGTCACATGTGATGAATTTTAGCAAGGAAATTAATTGAAATCAATAATTTAAAGAACAATTTGTAGAAAAAACGATAAAAAAAAATCCATCGGAGATTGAAAATCAATATCGCAACGAAACGAACAATCCATTTTGCTGTTCAAAACAAAAAAACAAATGTTCGTTGCTGAAACGGGCAGCGTCCTCTGGTGAATGAGAATGCAATGTGTTTGACTGGAAAATCTGTGCAAACCCAAAGAAGAAAGAGTTGAATGTATGTGTTGTGTTCAATGTTACGCGCCTTAAAATTTCATTGACGACTGAGAAGAGAAGCAAAGGCAAAGAAAAAATAAACCGAAACATCGCATATACACACAAAGTGTTGAATCATAGGTATGAAGCAGTAGTGAGTAAATCATACACTGAAATCTAAGAAATAGCTCATAGCGTTCGGTATTGAATAAATCACGGAGTATTTAGTTTATGATAAAAGCGAAGAAGAAATCGTTGTTTTGCTTGTCAAAAGCGAAGAGGAGTTGTTTTCAGTGTGTATTGTTGATTGAAGTGTGTGTTTGCGTACAATTTTTGCTCTATCTCTCCCTCTCTCTGAGTTGATGAGTGTTTTTTTTTTGCAGTTGGTCGGTGATTTCGTAGCGGTATGCGTTTGGGTTTAGCATTAGTGCGTAGACAGTTTGAGTGGGAAAACATATCAAAGAGTAACATAACAAAACACGCAAAATAAACGAGCAAAATAAAGAGAGAAAAAAATCCAACTGTGCAACAAACGAAGAAAAGAACAAACGTAAATGCAAAAAAAAAAAAAAAAAATAAGGCAGTGAGTGTGAGAGAGTACACAACTACACAGCATCTGTGAAACAAGGAATAATATTGTGAGGTTGCAACACACTCAACACACCAGCTCAAGTAACAACAGCAACAGCAGTCGAACGAACGAGTCGCTGAATCGGTGTGTAAAGTGGATGATTTATCAATAAACAATTTTTTTTCTTCTTAATTTTATTTTGCCATCTGAATCGGTCGCTATTTTCTGGTGTGCGTTGTTGTTGTTGTCGTGGTGGTTCTTTTAGTCACAATAAATTCCCGTGAAACAAATGATCATTTTATGTAAATTTACAACGAATGATTCGTACAAATTTTTCGACAATTTTATTTTCGTGTGAGTCGCTTTTTTTTCTGTCGTTTTTTTTTTTCGTTCATCGCGGCATAGAATCGCAAATTTTTTGCACATTTTCTGTCAATTATTTTTTTTTATCGTATCATATTGATAAGTGTGAAAAATTTAATTTGTACTATTGATTAGTGGATGAGTGTAAGAGTGCAAAAAATAAAACAGCACAACGAGCAAGTAGCAGGCGGTAGCATTGATTGTTCCTTTGTCTCTGTTTTCGTGTTCGTGTGTGTGAGAGAGAGCGAAAAAAACACAGTTCTTTGCAAGTGGATTTTTAATTGAATCATTTCCAAATTAATTGGTGGCAAATTGGCTACTGTGTGCCTTTGGTGATGTGCTTAAATTATGTGATTTTTCGGTCGATTTCTCCTTGCGGGCGCATTTAATCGACTGTTTTTATTTTCATCAGAAAAAATTTGTTGCTTTTCTTTCATCTTTCTCATTTGGCCGACACACATGAATCGGTTTAAGGGTATATTGAACCGATATCGATATTAAATTCTCGTTTGAATGTGTCTCTCTCCTTCGCTCTCTCTCTCCGTGTGTATGTATCCCATAATCATAACAACTAATCACATGTAATAAAATCAAAGCCATCACACAAAACAAGTCATGTTCGAAAATTAAAAAAAAAAACAACAGAGAGTACGACGAACCGATAAACGGAACGAACGATGGAAATAAAAATCGGTGTGGATGAAGGAGTGGAGTGGCACAGAAGTCAATTTTTTTTTTCGTTCAATGAGTGACATGAAGAGGAAAAGGGGTGGCTAAATTTAATTTAGTCGTGTGTGTTCTTGAGGCTCCAACTCAAATACGCCAAACCAAACCTATGTACACACGCGCGCACCACAATACACACGGGTGTAGAATAACATTTTATTGAATTAGAACTAAACACATTCCAGTGTAACAACATGTGGATATGGTGTTATTGTTGTTGTTAGTGTTTTTGCTCGATATTCTCGTTGCCCACATGAATTATGTGTCTAATTTGGCAAATAAATTTGTTTATTCGCTTCGTTCGTTCGCTTTTTTTTTCCTGCACAATCATTGTAGGCCATTTGAATTTTTGGTTTATTGACCATTTCAATTTGGTTTACTTCTCTCACTCTCTCTTTGTCTCAATCGTCCTTTCTTTGTCTCTCTAGCCATTTCTCAGTCTCTCTCTCTCTCTCGCTCTTTCTCAGTCTTTTTCGCCCTTTCTCAGTCTCACTTGCTCTCGTTTTCTCTCGTTCTCCCTCTTAGTATCGCCCTCTCAATTTCGGGACGTGTAACATTGCTCCTCGACACGTTCCATATTTTTTAATTTGAATCAATTACAAAATTTTAAATTCGATTTTAATCGCACAATTCGAAGAGCTGAGCATATTTCGAGGGAAAAATGCTCAGATTTCAATTAGAAATAGCACGGTTTGCGAGCCACGGCACCACATATACGTACACTGGTGCACTTGTATGAGTGTGGAATATGTAAAATGCGTTGACCCACGTCCGCCGTAAATGATAAATTGTGCATGTAACTGATACGATCTAGTGTGTGACAAATAAAGACGAAGGAAAAAAAAAACAAATAAAAATATGCGTAGGCACATCAACATCAACATCAGTGCAATTGCATCCGACAAAACACATGGCTAATTTGTTTCTTCCTTACACCTAAATGCATACATAGGATTTTCTCGCATACATTTATTTTTCGTGTTTCATTTTGCCTTCAATTAAAATGTAACCCGATAAACAAAGCAAACCTTCAGCCAGCGCGAAAAAAAGCACACACAAAACACATACAATTAGCATTAATTTCTGGTTTGTTGGGTCAAATGGACGGTATTTAGATCGATTTATTATTTTTTTCATTCACCATCATAATATTAAAAAGAATGGCTATGGTATTGAAAATGTATGATATATCGAGTAATTGCTGATTTTGCTCACTCTATATCACTCTCTTCTTCTCTCTGTGTGTGTATCTCTATCCATTTTTTTTCTGTCGATGTCCAGCCAAATATCTCTATGCACAACCCAGAGAAACACTTGGCAGATGTAATTGTGTGCACGATAGAAAACAATAGCAAAAAAGAATGAAGAAAAAAGAAACCCACATGGAACTTGTCTCGGCTACGTATAGATTTATTTACGTCCACACATCAATTCGGTGCAGTTTTTTTTTCTCTTCCTTCACTCTCAACTTGGTCGAAAATAAAAAAATTTCGACTTGAAATTCCGTTTGTCATCTTATTTCGTCTTTGTACTTAAAGGATCGACACGAACATCCGAACAAAGATAAATACATAAAGCAGTCGATTGTGTGTGTGTGTGTGTGTGTGTGTTTCTTTTTTCAACGAAATAACAGCCAATCAATTTTACTTGGAATTTCGTACTATTGCAACAAAGAGAATAAGAGATAAACAATAGAACCAAATCTATCCGACTGAGAGCAAAAAAGAACGAACGAACGTTGAAAACATCCGACTTTTTTCTTCTTCGAATGTCGAAAATAACCGTTTTGAGCAAATTTTTGTTTTAACCGGAACACTTTAAGTTTACTGCAATTTTTTTAAAGCATTTTTTTTTCTCAGTTTGAAGCGCGTCAGCTGCAGAAATACCGCATACATTTCTGGTGTAATCGTGATTCAAGCGATAAATACAAGGATTTAGATATAAAAATGAACGCAAGAGAAGGGAAGAATGAGAAAGAGAGAGAGAGAAAGAGAGAGAGAGAGAGAGAGAGAGAGAGAGAGCGAGAGCGATATAAGCGGATTCTGATTGCAAATCACCCAAAAAAAATTCCCTAAAGAAATCTAATGTGCACAACCAATCGATCACTTTCACGATTAATCGCGTGTGCTGCGTTGCGTTCTGGCTTTTTTGTTGTGTTTCCCGTTTTTCTCTCTCGCACTTGCTTTTGCTCTCGCTCTCTCTCGTTCTTTTTTCTTACTTTTCTCTCTCATTCTTTCACTATTCTCATCATCTCTATCTGAGATTGCCTATCTCTCTCATCAACGCTGCCGTTGTCCAATTCAATATTCGTTCACAGTACAAAATCGTTCAAGAGTCGAAGCAAGTTTGATAGAAGTGAGAAAAAAAAGAGATGTTGTACTTGATATTAATCGGTCGCAGCAGTAAACCGATCGTTCGGTTGTTCGACTCTCATTCAAAGTACATCGGTAGTGTTAAATTGCGAAGTGTGTTGCTATTTTTTCTGAAATCAAAATCACTAATTACATTTTCATCGGTCGTGCGTCGATTGATTGAGGATGTGATGTATGTATGTGTGCCTTAAATAGAGTCCAGTAATTTTTTTTTCTTATAGCGGCGGTTCACCGAAATAGAAGACACACTGCCTAGGTTGTCGCAGTAGTGTAAATGAATTGTGAAATATTTATGGATTTGTGTGTCTCTTCCCATATCCATCGATCAGTTGTCGATGGATTGGATTGCTGTTGTCGTCACCAATTATGGTGTCAACATTTTTATGAATATGAAACGCCGTCTACCGTCGCTATTTTAAATAAATTAGCGTTTTCATTCATATGAAATGTCATTGCTTTTGAACATATCGGCCCATGAATAATTTCGTTTCATTTTTTTTTTCTTCGTGAAGAAAGAATAAGAAAATGTATGTCATAATTCGGCACGCGAATTCATAAATTGTGTGGTATATATTTTAAATATTGTGGCATGTGTGGCACGAAGAACGTACGCTGGCTTCATCGCAATCATACACACTCTGTATGCAGATCGGAAGATAAATGGATTTTGACCATTGCCATTCATTCATTCAATAACACACAAAGCGAGCCGATTGTGCTCCACTCTCTCGAAAAATTAAAATGGTTTTTACAGCATTTTAATAAATCGGCAGCAGCAGTGACGACCCGATGGTTGTTCTCATTTCTTTTTTTTTTCCTTCACTTCCAAACTAATTTCGCGTATCGAGGCACCATAGCACGAACGAAATGAAGCCAGGTGAATTTGACGCTTTGTTGTGTGTTCTTTTAATTACCTACCGCCATCATGAAAGCGCCACACACAATGCAAAAGAGTTCGCGCGCGAACAAATGATGCGAACCACGGCCAAATGCGAACCACGGCCAAATGCAAACCATTCGGATGTGTGGCTGGCAAAATTCGCACAAAATCCAAAGAGAGTGAGAGAAACGAAAGCAAAAAAAAAACGAACGAACGTTCACAAAAGGAAGTTGCTTATTTTTATAATGACGCTTTATTTAAACAAAACAATGAACAACAGTAATGGCAACAATGACAAAAGCCCAAACGCCAAAATGTGTTACTGTTTCGACAGTGTGTGCGCGTTTTTTTTATTCCGATGGATTCTGTGTGTGTTTGTGCGTATGAGAGATTAAATTAATTTTTTTTTGTCGAGTGAATGGCAAGAATAGAACTAAACCATAAATAGGCAAAGAAAAATCACCACGGGCGAACCAAACGAATGAACGAACGGGAGAAGAAAAAAAGGCAGATTGTGTGTGAGTGAGTAATGACAAATTCGATGGCGTGTTATTAAAGAAATTAAACATACAAAGAGTAGTGAACAAATGAACATTACTCAACAAAGGCGACGGAATTTCTGCGTTATCCTCGCACCAAGCATACGACGATGTGCGTGTGAGCATACATATTTTTTTGTTTTTTTTTGCCTTCACGTTCCGTTGAAATAACCAACGTTTCGCTGCTCTTTTGTCACGCTAAAAAACACGCTTACTTAGAATATCGATTGTTGCTGCTTCTGCTACCGCTGGATAAAAATATCTCTCACCTAATATATCCAGCCAAAACAGCAACAACACATTTTAAATTTAAATGAAGCGACAACAGGATGATGACAAACACTCTCCAATCGAAGTGAAACGGCCGAACCCGAAATACATGAAGAATTTAAAAAAAAAGCAGCAACAACAAAAGCCGTACGCATGAATCAACCGCATTGCTCGCTTGTTGATTTATCAGAAACGTGTACGCGCTTAAAGTGTAGGATCGATTGGGAGTGTGAGTAGTGGAAAAAGGAGCGAGAAAGAGAGAGAGAAAGAGAGATCTCGAAAAAGATAGAAAGACCGTGTGAGTGAGTAGATAGGAAGACAAGAGTGAGTAGATAGGAAGACAAGAGAGAGTAAAGAGATACAGAGAGACAAGGAAGGATAGATAGAGAAAGACAAAGAGAGATAGAGATAGTGAGATTGCATGTGTGAAAGAGAGTGAAACGAGCAAATGTGAAACAAGAGTGGCGAATTACCTTGAAAAGGCCCCTTTAATCATGAAATGCTATTAAACACTTTTTGGCGCATTTGTGTATCAAAGCGTGATTGTGCCCCGTTTTTATTGTTCCCAGTGAGCAATTCTGACTATAAATATATGCATAAACCATAGGCATATAATGTGTATACAAGTATGCCTTATACAGGCCTCACTAACATTGTATTATTATACAGAATTGTGCCTATTTCAGGCATATGGTCCACTTTAGTAATTTTATAATGTGATTGGTCCATTGACTATACATATCTCAGGTCTATTACAGACATACAAATAATGGGCCTGGTCAGGCCTGCGCTGCCATATAAACTACATAGAAAGTGCGTTACAAAATCACCATCCTAACAGGCCTAAATCAAGACATTTTTGCTCATTGGGTTGTAGTAGTCAATTTTGAAAACACTGCAGGCCCGTATGCATGAACGCCTTGAACTGTGTGCTTGTATATATAGAATCATTTTGTGCATCGTCCGTATGGTTGGTTCGTTGGTTTTTGGGCACTGCATCGCACCGCGCATTCCGTCGATTTATTCTTTGCTACTGGCACCGGAAGGCCAACGGAATACTTTAAACCAAATATAACCAACATTTCGATCGTTTTGCGGTTTTTAACATCGAAAATCGTTTACGATGATTTCGAAATAAATCATTCATTGCCGTTTTTTTCCCCGTTCGTTTTAAACGCATTTTTTTTTAGTTAACTTCAATTTGTGTTTCTCTTTGTTGTGGTGAGGTGATTCTTCAACCATTTTGTGGCGAGTCGATATATTTCATTTTTATGTCGAGGTGAATTGTACTGACGGCGGAATTTTTGATTTCCTTTTGGACAACAAAGCGGAATTCTGACTTCACTTGGTACTGAGAGACTTAACTGTTCGAATCCGAAACTTGTGCCTTGGTACCGAATTCGGAAATGACGAAACACATATCACTACAATAAACAAAAAATGAATGTGCAATTAAAAATTCGCAAAAATTCCCGCATATGAAATGAGCCTATATTTTTTTCAATTCAAATCTAATGATTTCGTTTGGTTTCATAAATTTATCGTTTTGATTTTCCTTTCTTTTTTTTTTTTCTTTGCAGCATATTTCAAACTTGGCGCGTCAATCATCCGTACATCAACACCAAAGTGATTCTAATCGGCCTATCAAACGAAAAAGAAACGTAGATCCAAAAAAAAACTAAGCGACGACAACGACGACGACGATCGCTGAAAAGAAAAATGCAAATGAATTGATTCTGAACACGAGTTGCAGCATGTTCAATGAAATGACAATAGCAAAAAGCCAGCAAATAGTGATTTTATGTGCGTGATCGTTGAACATACACACAGGAAGTAAATTTGTGTGTTTTGTACTTCTTTTTTGTTTCTTTCTTCGTGTGTGTTTCTGTTTCGTTTGTTTTTTTTTTGTTGTTGTTTCGGAATAAGAGAGTCTATTAACGTACACGGTGCGAAATAAATTATTGATGCCAAAGTGGCTCAAGTGAGAAGAAATAAACGTGCGAAAAGTATACGTATTAAGATTCGGGCAATTTTAATCTAAAAACGGAAAGAAAATCTACCTAAGCAAACACACGAGCCTACAACCACCGATCGAAATAAGTAGCTTAAACAGAAGTTGAGAGCCGAGAAAAACCGCAGTACACTTGAAATTTAGCAGAGCGTGGATGTGCATGCAGCGAAGAAAATCACAAAAACCAACGAATACTCCATCGACTTATCTTCGCCAGAGATCGGCGTAATTGAGTGAGAGATAGGAAGACCGAGCTAGAGATTGGGCAATAGAGCAAGAGGGGGAGAGCTTTTAAATAACCGAAGAGAAGAAGCTAAACAAAAAAAAAATCCACCACCATACCCAGCACGCTAATAAAATGGGCAAATTACTCTCTTTACTGGCACGTGATGATTCCAATTGCTGCACACCCAAGAACTATGATGTCTTTCTGGATTTCGAGAATGCCGCACCAACAGAAACAGAACGTGTAATTTATGATGAGGTTGAACGTGTATTACGCGAATCGGAAAGTGTATTAGAGGAAATTCAATGCTATAAGGTCAGTTTTTCCATCAGATTCACATCCATTTATTCCATTCTATCGCCGGTGTTGTTCAATCGTGCTTGTGCGCGCCCGCGCTCGCGCTCTTCTCTTTCAACAAGAACGCAAAATGCAACGCAATTTGTTTACGCATGAAGAGCACGAGTTGCGCACTTTGCACAAGAAATTACGAACAAAAAATAAAATGAATGAATGAAAGAAACGAAACACGATGAAGAGCGTGTGGTTTGATGATCATTCGGGAGAGCCAATTTACTAGAAGCCGTTAGAATTCATTATAATTAAATTTCACGCTATCACGTACAATTCAATTGCAATTACAATCAACTTCGGTTTGTTTTTGTGCATGGCAGCGTGAAATTTCGGAGATCAATGACTTCTATCCAAACACCGATCCATACTTTTCGATTTCATAAGCCGACGATTCTTGGCTCTTTCTGGCTGTGATTTCCATTTTTACCTTTTTTCCTCTCTTTTTTGAGTATAGCATCCAAGGAAAAGGGTACAAAAATTCATGAATAAAGGAGAAATCAATTATGAATAAATAATTGATTAGCGATTTATTAACGTCTAATTTGTTTTTTTTTTCTTTTGAAACAGGGAGCGGGCAGGGAGATACGCGAAGCGATAGCCAATCCAGAGCAAGAATATCAAGAGAAAGCATGGAATGCCGTACTGCCGCTGGTTAGCAAACTGAGGCGCTGCTATGAACATTCATTGGAATTGGAACGCGTCGTGCCACGACTACTCTCACAACTCGTTGGCGGACGGCTCAATCCAACACAGCATCTAGAAACACAACAAGCCTTAGTCAAGCAACTAGCTGAAATCCTCGAATTCGTACTCAAATTCGACGAATTTAAGGTTGACTCATTGGTTTTTTTCTTTTTTCTTTCATTATTTAATCACTTTTAGACAGCCTTTTGGAATTTTTCATTCATTTCTTGAGCTTTTGATAAGATTCAAATGGCGTTTCATTCATTTTGTTCGATAAATTTACGCCTTCAGAAATTTCCTATGAGTTTGACCTATTTCTGGTGCTTTTGGTCATGTTTTTGTTCGATTTTTATCAATTTTCGTGGAAATATGAACGAAATACCAATCATTTTTGGTTCATACTTTTTCTTTTTCGCACAACCATTTAGTACTGTTTTTAAACCATTTTAATACTTTTCTTCATGACTCCATGTTTTTTGACGCCATTTTATTAGTTTTTGTTTCAATTTTTTGAACTCTTTCGACAAAAACCCAAAAAATTGAGAATTTTTCGTAGAAAGATATAGATATCAACCTTTTCCGAAATGAAAATTCAATTTCCTGTTGAAAAATAATGAAAATTAAATAGAAACTAAAAAAATTTAAATGAAGCTAAACAAACTAATCAATTGCCGTGTTTTATATTGTTTCACACAGATGAAAACGCCAGCAATTCAAAATGATTTCAGCTACTATCGACGAACGGTGAGCCGACAACGTATTGAAAACACTGAAAACATGCTGGTCAGTACGGAATTGGCGAATCGAATGTCATTGTTTTATGCGCATGCAACGCCAATGCTGAAGGTGCTTAGCGAAGCGACCAGTAAATTTGTAAGTGATAATGCGAACGATGTCGATAATACGACCGAAACGCTAGGAACAATGGCCAAAGTTTGCTTAAGAATGCTAGAAAATCCGTAAGTATACGCAAATTGAGCCAGTTTTACTCTGAAATTTGATTCGTCGATGCTAGATTTTTTTTTTGTCAATGTTTTTGGCTTTTGAAGAATTGCAATTTTCTCCAGTGAAAAATCTTCACCTTTAAATCACCCAAAAACATTTCCCAAAGAGAAACTGAGCATCGAAAATCTATTCAGAGAAAATTCTCTTCTTCATTCCATTTCCCCACCAAAAAATAACTCATTAAACTAATCGAAATGTTCTATCCAACCAAATTTTTTTTTCAGCAAATTATTGTCACAAATCGAGCGAGAGGAGACGCATTTGCTGGTGTTGCGTGTGATGGTTGGTCTGGTGATTCTGTACGATCATGTGCATCCGGTGGGGGCGTTCGTGCGTAACTCACACATCGATGTCAAGGGCTGTGTACGGCTGTTGCAAGCACAGCCAGCCGTCAAAGCCGAACCATTGCTGAATGCACTGCGATACACGACCAAACATTTAAACGAGGAAAATACACCAAAAAATATTCGAAATTTATTGGCTGCATAAAAGAACCGGTGAACAACAGCAATAGCAACAACCGCACTCAACATGTCACAACAAAAATGGTCATCATAGTTTTTTTTTCTACATATAAATATAAACCGATGGACACAAAACAATTCGAATGCTGTCGCATTGAATTTGAAGTCGTCGAAGAAGAATACACATGAAAAAAATCTGTTTTTTTTTTTGTCATTTAATCACACCCGTATACACCAAATATATAATTTAAAAGAGGAAAAAAGCGAATGTAAAATGTAAACATAGAGTACACGTATCTCTCACCAATTCATTGAGTTCCTATGCGAAAACGTTTGCTGAGAAAGATCGTTTCACTCGCGCTCCCCCCCAAAAAAAAAATTTGAAACATGAACAAAAACATATTCCCTTTATTTTTTACGAAACAAAAAAACACATTTGTTTTTTTTTTCCTGTTTTCTTATTATTATTTTTTTATATATAATAACTTGTATTACTTTTAATATGTAAACTATATAAAATGATACAAAAATGAACACAATCTGTGTGAATCGAATAGAAGATGATTAAAATTCAATTGCATTTCAGTGGAAACGCATTGATTAAGCGAAAGAGAAAGAGAATGTGCGATGAAATTAACATTTCCAAGCGAAATACGAATCAAATTGCATCCTTTCCATCCGTTTTATTCGATCAATAAATTCAACAACAAAAAATAGAACATTCAATGGCGCGCTTATTGACAAATTTAACCAACACTTATTTAGATAAGACAAATTTGTAATTAGTTATGGACAAAATATATACACACACAAACACAAACACAAAACACAAAACACACTACAACAAACACGATTAGTTGAATTAAAGCGATAAGTTATGATTTAGATTTAAAAAAAAAAACAACAAATACCATCGTGTGTCGTGACGTCGCCGCCACCACCGTCGGACTTTGTAAAAAAGTATTTTTAAAATGTAGTTAAATTTTTGCAAAACAAACCAACCAATGCTTTTCAATGCAACCCCCTTTTACAATATGCAGACACTTTGTGACTATTAGCCAACTATTTATCAACCTATTGATAGCTAAATATCAATCTTTTTGTAATGTTCACACAGGGAAAATACACCCCAAAAAAAAAAACTAAAAACACCTGGAAAACACCCAAAAACACCTTCAAAAAATACCATCAAACATCCAAAACGTCATCAAAAACCCTGAAAATTCAGCTTGAAAATACCTTTGATTAACCAAACTCAAAGAGATTTTTAAAAAATGGAAAAGACAAAAAGAAAAAAATTGCAGAAGAAATTGAAAATAAATGGGAAGAATCGGAACCGAAACCGTAATTGAAATGGATAACCCGACAAAATTTTGAACCCACAGAAACAGTAAACACAATTCGTTCCGAGCCGATTCAGCAAACCATATCAAAATAGTCACGTTCCGACAGCACACGTTCTTAAAACACACACCTGACGATATAGAATCATATCCGACCCAAAGCGCAACCAATTTGCGAAAAGTGTGATTTTTCCAATTTTACTGGGTGTTATCGATTTATTCGATTTATTCTCAAAAGGCACTATTTTAAAGGCACACGATTGCTAAATCGTGACAAAAAATGAGCGATTTACTATTGAAGGCTGTGAAAAATACATGGGATACGACCTTCTTTGGGGTCGTTCATAGACCAAATATCGTTGCTGATTGTATTCGATTGTTGCCAACTGTAGCCAATCATTGCCAATCGTTGCCTTGAAAATAGTGCCCTCGAGTCATTTGTACATTTCATTCTTGTTTTTGTTCTTTCTTGTGGTTGTTCGTCATGGAAAAAACCAATTGTCACGTGAATTGATTATATACAAGCCGAGTAAAAATTTGTGATGCGATCGATATCGGCGATACACATTCAAAGTGCACTGAAATTTTTACGTTACGAAATATTGGAAATAAAACATTTGCAATTTTCTATATCAATGAATTGAATCGATGAATTCATGCCAGTAGTAAATTCAAAAGAAATGAAATATGAATTAATTCAGAAAAAATGAATCGAACAATTATCCAAGCAAAAAAGTCGAAAAAAAATCGAACCAAATCAATTGTACTGAAAATGCCGGCTTTTTTGTCGGAGCACCACAATTTTTCCAGGCATACATATTTCGACACCCGCGAATTAATGATAAAAACCAATTTTTGTAAATGATAAGAATATTTTTCCAAAATTCGTGACTTTTTTCACACCGCCAATTTTGCATGGCCGCTTTTCCTCTACACACCAAAAACAAACACACCTTTTTACGATGAATATATTCAATGAAAGAACCTGTGAACTTTTCCCTCATGCTTTGAGTGTGGTAAAGTAGAAAATTAACTGGGTAATAAGACCGTTAGAATCCTCACACAAACAACAACAACACACATGTAAACGCCTAATAAATTAGGTCTAAACATACAACAAATTATTATAGCATAGCCTCTGCACAAGCTATTTCCCACGGACATTTGATAGAAATATTGAAACATGCAATTTTATCCAAACCTTATCGCAATTTTATTCATTCATTCCATTATTTTGAAATAATGCATTGTTTTTGTTTCTTTTTTTCCTTCAAATTTTCGTTGTATATTTGTGTCAATTTTTCACATTAACCTTTGAAACGGAAGTGCATTTTTTTATCATCAAATTTTGGATTTTTGATGATTTAGCTAAGGAATGGAGGAGATATCAGTTCAAGAACAAAGTTATTGTTATTAATTATTGGAATTTATTGTGTTCTTCATAGGAAAAACGAATAAAAAAATTAAAATACAGAGAAGAAAATGATAAAACTTTTGAGTTTCGAAATATCGAACCACCACAACTGTTGGATATGACGTAAATAAAACAAATAAAGTGATTTTTTTTTTTTCAAATGAAATGACATGGTTTTTTTCATTTTGGAATGGTTTTTCGTTTTATTTTGGTCTTGTACAGAATCAGCCTAGCGACATGATTAAATTATCGAGCCGCCGTTCGTCTTGTCATAATTGATACATCATGCAATTTCATGGGGTTTTACGACCGAGTTACGAGAATAACTTAACTAAAAAGAATATGATGAAATTTGGAAGTTTTGAAAAAGCAATTACTTCTATTTTCATAGAATGAATTTACTCTAGGGGCATTTCTCACGAAAAGAATGAATGAATTCTTATAAATTTTGAAACATTTCTTCCGTTCGGTCCTATTCGATCAATTTTTATCAATTCGTGTAAATAAATGTTCATTTACACTGAACTTGTGTTCTGGAAGTGGGTTTAGGTGGATCTCAAGGATCGTTCAGAACTGCTCCCGGTTCTGGAAGTGGATCTTCAGGATGGGCCAGGGCATTGTCAAACCGGATATGGTCCATCCTGAGGATCCACCAAAACCCACTTCCAGAATCGGGAGCAGTTCTGAAAGATCCTTGAAAAAAATCGACAAAGATAAGTAGCTCATAGACATACACACGTTCATAGATCAATTTTTGCATATTATCGCTTATTTTTTGCTGGAGTAACAGCGAAATTTTTACATTTGAATTGGCTTCTTGGAATCGTTCGAGTTTATTTACGGGAATCTCATCAAAATACAAATGCCAAGAGAAGTATTCCAAATTGTGGTAAGTGTGTTCCATACAATGGTATTCGTGTCCCCTATAAAAACTTTCAAATAGTGTTAATCGTTTCAGTTTCGGCGTGTGTTGTAAAAAATACTGTCTCAAATCAACATTCGTTTTGCAATGAGCAAATGTTAGTGGTTCGACATTACTGAGCATGCTTTCTAGCAGAGTTAGGTTTTCCGGATACTTTTTATCAAAAAAACCAATCAAAGAGCGTTAGATTTTTAATTGGAAACCGAACCGCCTCCTCCAGTCGAGGTTTTTTATTTTTGTTATATGACTCCATTGATCCATCAATTACTATATTTTGTACGCGCTTCGCAAAAACCTCGATGTAATATTCATTTGGTTCGATGACGATACCTTCACAGCACGAAGATGAGAACTTTCGATGAGCTGTAATTGCGCTTGAAACTTTCGGTGCCCAGCGCTAGTAGACGACGACACATTTGACTGAAGGCACACAGATCGGATAAAAGTCATTATGGGCATTATAAATAACGATGAAGAAGAAAAAATATATATTATCAGTGGGTGGCACGGTGTTCCAAATGGCCAAAACTGGGTAGATAATGGACAAAAGTTGGTTTACGAAACAGAACAATTGGACAAAGGTTTTTACGACACAATAAAAAAAAACTTTTCCTCCTTTACGGAAAATGCACAAGAATTCGCAATTAAAAATTTATAATATGGCACACCTAATAAACGCATCCAAAATTCGAGCATTTCAAGTAGACATTTGCAGTTCAAGTTGCCATTCTTCGACTTGTCATCAAACTGTGCACATGTACATCGTCTATGTGGAAAAATTAGTGATTTCCAAATAAAAAAAGTTTTAAAAAAAGACAAAAAACAATAAAAACAATGAGTGCTCGTGGTCGTGGTGCACGTAGACTTGCCGCACGTGGTGGACGCGGACGCGGTTTAGTGCGTTTTGTAAGTGATGATTCACAACCAAGTGCTGATGTGAGCGATCGTGAAGTCGACGAATTTGGTGATCCATTGCCGGACCGACTTGGTCAAGACTATGGCACTCTACGCCGAGCCGTAAGTGTTCCTTACGGGCCAGGCAGTGTCGTCGGACACGCCGTCTTTTGCTTGACGTTCACCGAATGGTGGTAAGTAATTTAGGCAACTTTTTTGATTGAAACCAAAATTCTACTAAGAAGAGTTTTCATAAAAATGCAAAAAGTTTACTCAGTGGAGTTTTGTTGTAAATGCAAAAAGGTCACTCTAATAATAATTGTTATCCCTACCCACAAGGAAATTTGCTATAAACTCAATAGTCACAATAACTTAACAGTGAAGTGTCACAGTCACAGTGAGCATGCGAACAAGCATAACGCATACATACACGCACGCTCAACAGCCTACTGTGTGTATGTGTATGAATGTATGCGTTATTCCCGTTCGTGTGCTAACTGCGTCTGTGACACTTTACTGTTAAGTTATTGTGACTACTAAGTTTACAGTGAATTTTATTGTGGGTAGGTTTGACAAAGGTTCGATTCTCGGCGTGTACAAGAACACGGAATTTCTGAACATTGTTCATGAATACGCCCGCCCCGTTATCCGAGGCGTTCGTCAGCCAGTGGCGAACGTGACTGGCAAATTTTTATTCGACGTCGATTTTTGGAACATGTGCCTCCGTCAACTTGGCGCATGTGTGTTCAAGCCAGACGTCCCAACCCAACGAGTCGGCACACATCCATGGTCCATTGAGGAAGAAGACAACATGCGTCTGCACGCGACTGGGTTGGACGAGTATGCCGAGGGTAACCAGCTTTTCTTGGCATACGTCAACTCGGGTAAGTTTAATTTTGATGAAAAAGCAAAAAGTCTACTAAGAAGAGTTTTGATAATAATACAAAAAGTCTACTAAGTAGAATTTCCGCAAAAAAATAAAAAGTACACTTCAATTTACAGAGGAAAATGCCATCTGATTTTGCTGCATAATGGCATACAATTACATCTCATTATGCCCGCAGTACAATCAATACGTATCGGGTGGCGTGGCGCCAATGGAACGTGGGCTGCATTTTGACCCGGAAAAGTTCACGAAATTTATACGGTGTCACATGAACAAAGTGTCGGTGCAGTTCGCCGCAAAAATGTACGAAGTGGGGCTGGCACTACTCCAACGTGGGTCTAGCGTGATGCGCAATAAAACGTGCACAGACATCGTAATAGTAAGTACATTTTTTATTCTTACACAAAAAGTCTACTTAGTACAAGTTTGTCAAAAAAACAGAAAGTCTACTAAGTGGACTTTCATTTAAAAAAAAACAAAAAGTATACTTACCCAATGCAATCTCTGCAACAGGAATGCGAATGGACACTGGCATTCT